TGTTTAAACTGTGCTTATCCCTAAGGATGGACAATAAGCTCTCACACTGTACTCAGAAATGAGGATGAAACAAAGATTCTGTACACTGAGATGAAAAATGTAAATCTGTGAAAATCGATTACTGATTCTTTGATGATGAATGTTAAGATGATGATGAAAACATAAAAACACATTTTCACCTGCCAACTGGATCTGATTAAAATAGCTGGATAATGTCTCAACTAAACTGAATGAACATTTTGGCCAAGAAATTTAAGCTGTTTTTTTCACAGAGTGGCAGACTAATTTTCTTTAACTTTATGTACTGTATATTTGTTTCCTCTGTCTGGAAGGAATTAGTTGTTCTTTGATTCCGTGAATCTACAAAGCTGTCAGTCCATCTAATGCCAGATGTCCACAGCCACATTTTCCAAATTTCAGCTCCATTTTTTGTAACTGTAGCTGTAAGTGCTGCCCACAGTGCCATTGTTTCAGAAATTAGGCATACCAAATGATCATTGAGAATGAGGATTCTTTGTAACTTTGTCTCCAAAGAGAGAGAGGAAATGGGAGAGCTTGCTAAATGTGACAAACGTGTTCTGGTTCATATTACCTGAAGGGGAAAGCTTGATATTGAATTATTTTTGCTCCTGTTAGTTTGTAAAAACAAGGCTGTGACGTACTTCAGACTGACACAAAAGCAAAACCTTTCTGAAAATATGAGCACTGCTTTGTCAGAAAAGCTCATAATATGGGACAACCTGAGTAATGCAGATGGCTTTGATTTAGGCTCCAGATGAAGCCATAACAGGGCCAACATTCTAGGGCATGAGGATTATTAGTAACAAAAAACATTTTTGACAGCAGGCAGTTAACACTCAAAGAAGGTTTTAAAAAGACACGCCAGCTTCACCATACCAGATTTTGAAACTTCCAATGGGATTAGAAACCCTCATCAATTGAAAAGGATCACTCTGCATGTTAAAAGCAGTTGCATGATTATACTTGTTTGCTCATGCATTAAAATATTTTAAATGGCCATTAAGTAAGAAAAAAAAGACTAAATGCTTAGAAAAAAAGTATTTGTATAATAAATATCTTTCTTCTTCTGTAGTTCTTGTTCAGGACTGCACTACAATTGAAACAAAGGAAACTTTTCAGTTTTTCTGCTTATGAGAAACTGTAAGTTACTAAATATCTGTTGGTAAGTATGGAATGAACATTTGTCACAAACTCTGTAAAATCAAATACTTTGACATTTTAAGAACTAGGCAAGCAAGAGTTAGAACTTGTTCTCTCGGGAGATGAAAGCACGGAGGATTACTGTAAATCTTATTTATGGAACAGAGAACACACTCAGGAAAATCATTCATTTTAAAATGGAGGGAAAAAACTGTTCATTATTTACCACAAACGTGCCTAGTGTCTCATTGCCATATGGCCACTAAATTGATTATTTAAATAACTTAAAGATTATGCTGCAGATAATTTATGCTGATTATCACCCAACACACTGCTTCACTTTGATTAAATAACCAGGAATGTGAAAAGCTTGTGAACTGATGGTTTGGATTTGAGTTTTACATGACAAGACAAGTCCTTATGTTTAACCCTGAGAAACAGGCTGCCAGAGTGTAGATCCTGGTTGTTATGGCAACACAGTGACTCAGGGATGAGCATGTTTTCTCTTCTAAACCATCAGCAGAAGAAAGGCATGACGATACAAAATATACTATTTCTACAGGCCCCCTGATGGCACCTTACAACTGAACCAAATGACAAAAGAAAATGTCACAAATAATTTAATAGTTACAATAGTGCTAAGACAAGAGTGGTGAACACAATTGAACTTACCTTCCATTCTATGAGTGTGCTTAAAACATGAACTGGTCATTCGAGGTGCTTTCACTCAAGTCACTTTCTTGTAACTTTGTATTTCATGTGTTATCTTAATGTGCAAAAAGGTACTGGCTGCAAGTAATTCTGCATTACAAATTAAATGGCAACAGAATATAAATTTCCTGCTTCGAATCAAATCTAACCCTTGCTATTGAGCCAGTTAACCATCTGTTTTCAGTAGATAAGCTTTCACTAAGTAAGAAAAAAATACTTAGATCAATCACCAAGTAGTTTTTCTATTGATAGTGAAAGCTAAAAAGAAAAAAAAAAAGAATAGGAAAGGAAACATTTTGGGGACATAGAAAAACATGCCTGGAATTACGACATATTAATGTGATAATTAAATGCTTTCTAAAAAACTGCTCAATATTTTTCAATACACATCAATATTATTGGTTCAGAACAGGTACAAGATAACTCTAAATATGAGTTTTTTATTGTTCAATATGTATACCATACTTTTGACAGTTAAGACTAAGAAATATTCACATTGAAAAAGAACACTGATGTCTGAGTAAATGCACTAAACCTTAAAATCCATACGCCTGTGATACTTTTAAATCTGTACTGTATACCTGTGATACTTTTAAATATTTTTTTCAGCTTCACTTGAAAATGAAAGGAATAATTAGCAGTGTTTACTTGGGACACTGCTTTTTTTTTTCAAATCAATAGCCATGAACTAATTAAGGACTGAAACTGGGTCCCAAGAGAACATCAGGCAGAGGATTATCTCCCTTTGCAACTGGTCTGCCTACACAACCCAGCCAGTGCATTCCAAATTAACAATAATTAAATAGTGTCTGAATTTCATTTTGCCACCAGTGACCCACCTCATCCCAGCTCTTACGATGCAATAATGAGCAAAAGTCAACCACACCATGATAAAAAGCACAAAGGTGATTTGACAAAGGAAATCAAATGATGGAGTTGGGGATGTTGGTTTTGTTGTGAAAAATCAAACCTGAGTTTAAAGTAAAACTGATTAATGTTAAACCCAAAACAGATAAACCTTATATGGAGTGAAGCATTTTACACACACAGAGATGCGTGTTAAAATATTCTGAATTTAAAATCAGAAAATCAGGTTCTAACTACAGCACAACTAGGACATATCCATGGATCTCAACATGGCAGTTACCTTATGTTCTGCATGACAACATTTCATATCATCAGAACAGAATGGTTAAGGTAACACTTTTATGTTTCCATGAAGACTTTGTAGTGACAGGCTGTGCAATAAGTGCACAAATGTATCTTACATGCACTCAGGAACTTGGAACTGTGCTGCTCATGCAACATCTAAGCAAAAAAAAGTGGTCGATCACACAGCTGTAAATCCTTGTCATCAGATATACTATCTGCTGGCCAGGAGGGCAAGCAATTGCAAAATTAATGCTGATGGTATCTTGGCAAATTGAAGTTAGACGTCTCGGGGGTTGTCACAGATCAAACAGTACTACCCTGCCTCACACTGTTCAAGTTGTTGTGGTGGATTCATTATCCAAGATTATACAATCTGAGTTTACCATGTACAGTATGGGTCATGTACAGTGTCATTACCTACCTCCATGCTGAAGCTTTTAGAATACTGTTTAACACCAACTAAAGCAAAGTTTAACACTCCCACCTCAATGCAACTAGAGCCCTTAATCTTTCTCCTGGAGAATAAAAGACATCAGATCTCTGTTGAAAAGCAGAGCCAGCTTACCAGGTGCATGAGACATAGAGGGCAAGTCTCATTTTCTAGATCCTTAGTTTTATCATATGATATGCACGAAACATGGCTGTACACCCCTCATATGAATAAATCTACAAATCAATCTGGAAATACCTGCATTGTTAATATCAGTGTTTCTATGAATTATAAAAATGTACAGGTGCAGAAAAAATGAAATGCCTTGGTAAATACCAGGTATATAGACAGTAAGGGATTCCACACATTTATAGTTGTTGCATTGACAAAATACCATCTAAGCATGCTTGGGGTCATGTATAAAAATGCTGGAAGGGCCTGTTTGCCTATTTATAGACAGCATAGTTGCAAGAGGAGACCTTAATGACTTTAAAAGGGGTTATGATTGTTGAGGCACACCTGGCAGGAGTTTCAGAGACCAAGATAGCCCAACTTGCTGATGTTTCATGAGCAGCAATGTCTAAGGTGATGGCAGCATGGAGCTGCGAGAGAATTACATCATCAGTAATGGGCACCAATAGGAGGAAAGTGCATATTCCAGGACCGTGGTATCCGTGCATTAATTCAAAGTGCAAGGCAAAACAGGTGCGCAACTGAATGCAAATTCTAACCTGGGGCACAAGCAGACAGTTCCATCACAAATCGTTTACTGAAAACTCCACAGACTGGGGAACCACAATCAGACTGCAGAGCACAAATGTATCACACCTCGCAATGCATCTTTTCAAGTCCAATGATTAAAATGAGTAAAATTAAAAGGCAAAGTCAGTACAATGCTAATTGCAACACTTCTCGCCTGCTAAGTTTTCCATGATGACAATCTATGCTATACACTGAGCACCATTGGTTTGATGAATATGATCCCGGTATCATCCATACTATATGTCATGGCCTTCTCGGTGACCAGATCTGATCTCAGTCGGGCATTTATAAGATATTCTGGAACACTCAAAACAGCATTTTATACCGCTATCAACCAGGTGTGAGTCGAGGGACCTTCTTGTGGAAAAAGGAAAATAAACCTGCATCCATCCTGCAGAATTCCCGATGCTAGTCTATCTCGTACCACAAACAGACCATTCTGACATTATCCTTTTGAGTGATTTTACATTGGTCTTCCAATCTTTTTTCTTTTTTGTACTCTACCTGTGCACCAATGTAAAAAAGTACATCTAACACAAAGACATAAATACACTTTAATGCATTACTGAATTATGCCCATATTAGGTGTATATCCTACTTTTGTTAAAATTGTATTTAACAAAATCACTGTATGAAATCTAAAACATTTTAAAAACTGCATTGCAAAACAAACTCAGACAAAAATTAGATTCCCGATTTATTTCAGCATCTTCATATTGATAAATGTATCACAGACACCTTTGGACACCTCATTAAATTCATGCAAATAAGTACCACATTCAAGTATTGTGCAGTGTTCAAGTTTATTTTAATAGCTTGCTGCTTACAATGCCTGTCTGACACAACATTTACAACTTCAGGGTACAATGCATCTGACACTAGACATCCGCTAAGAAATTAAAAGTCAGGGGTAAAAATGGATTTCAGTGCCTTTTTTAATTAAATACAGTCTCTTTGAACATTACACCAGGAAACTAAAAGGTACAAAAGCAGGGCTCAAATCTAAATGTAAAAGTATAAAAACTCTTTATCAGTACAGAAACTTTTTAATGGCACTTTAGCTCCACTAACTGAAAGTGGTGAAGATTTTTTTAATTTTCTGATATACATGTTTTTATAAGAACAATTAAAATGTTAAACATGAACAGCAAATAAGGCAAGTCAAACTAACAATCTTAAACACACTTTCTAAAAAAGAAGCTTGTAAATTCAGATTGGTGAATTCAGCAGGAAATCTTTTCCTAACAGCATGCTGACAAGGAAATGAAGTAAAACAGCAACGACTAGATATCAGGGCTGAAAGGGATTAATGTACGACTGTTGGTTTTACAGGTTAAAAAGGAAGAAAACCATGTGGAGGAAGAACCACTCAAAGTTTTTATAGCTTATAATGGCTTCTTTATTAAAGGTTTGGCTTAAATGAATTAGAACTATTTTATTGATAACTATAAAGAATATCCAAAAAAGCATTCTTTCAAGGAGATTTTAACTTCTTCCTAGCAATATATGGTGATGTTAAAGAACTAATGGTCTGGAATAACATGATAATCCAAGATACTAGTATGTAAACCACTTTTAAACATTTGAAATTCCATACTGGGATATATTTTGCATGAATGACAGAACCCATGATGGAGTAGATTTCAGTTTCATACCTATTAGAAGGGTCTTTTTTCACTAGCCTGTCTTAAACAAAAACCACCGTGTAACATTCAAAACATTATATTAAGATCCACAGCAGAAAAAAAAACATACCTATAGCAATAAAGAGACAGTGATCCAGTTACAGCACAACAAAACTCACCTTAGTGAACAATTTGGAATAGCGACACTTTGCTAATTAACTATTTTATAGCAAGCATTTCTACATCTACTTAAAGGATATTCCATAAAAAAAATTCCAATTGCATTAAAATGGAAAAGGCACTTGAATGTGGCCAGATACAATATAATAGTCAGATATTTCAAATGGTAGTCAAAACAAACCGCAAAGCTCACTGATGTTAACATTATTCCAATTAAATGGTATACCACACTGGACCACACTGATTTCAAGGCAGACTAAAAAAAGTATACAATCTGTTCTGCAGTAACTGCATTAGTTCTAAAACATTCTATAGCTGATAATGTCAGTAATGGGACAAATCATTCAACTGAGAAGGCATTTACATCCTTAGATCTTTTGAAATAAAAATAATCTATAATGACTTGACCAAAGATTTAATAGCTCAAAGTTATTCTTTAAGTTGAATTTGAAACTTCTCACCAGTAACAACAAAAATCAAAGTTTTTATGACCGATTTAATTTGTTGTTACTGGATTTTTTCAATTTTGAAAGTGATGGTGAAGACTTGTTGGAACTAAATGATGACATCAACATTCATTGCTTCATGGGAGTTAACCAAAACTGAATTTTAATGTTAAAAAAGACTGACATTAGCCATTTTAAAAGACTACAAAAGTCTACACAATGACTAGGCTAAAGACATTCAACTCTTAAAAGAAAATGAAACATCACAAAACTTTACTTTTGGAATGATTTGCCAGTCACTATAGTGTTCCAAGAGGAAAATAAAACTTCATGTGTTGTGGGTTTTAATTTCTTGATGCCACTGCTGTGAACACTTCAACAGTTTTGATTTTCAGAAAAAGGAGCCGTTATTGTCCACAAATGTACTGGTGTTTCAGTCAAAAACTTAAGATGGCCACTCATGGAACTACATGAATTCGACCAAGAAGTTAAGAGAACATTAACCTCTTTGATTTCTTGTTTCAAGCAGACAATTTGAGATAAAACCCACAAAATAGCTTACTGCAGGATGCTTATATCTGAAAGCAGAAAATGCTACTGTAAAACTTCCTAGGAAATATATAGCATCTCTATTGCACACACAGCAAGACTAGGGCAAACAACATTTTCCCCTCGCATGAAAGACAGAGGTTGTATTAAATATATACGGTACACAATACCGGCAACAACAAACGTACTTTTTAAATTGTAAACAGCACCAAATTAAAAATGTAAACTTTTAAAAATATTTAGCATATAAAATAAGCCTGCAGAAAAAGCTCCCCATGTAACAACTTCAAAAGAAGAAAAAAAAAACCTTTAAGAAACAGCTGCAGTTTGGTAATCAGACCTCAGGAAGGTATAAAAAACAATGTATACTTTTTCATCTTAGAACTACATACAGCTGCTACTGAATGAAAAAAAGATTCAAATTCATGAAAACAGTCCTCATATTACACACCAGTGCTGTATCATTGACTGTGAACTGAAGTATACAGATACTCTACTTAAAGAATAAAATATCTATAGTATTAACACTTCTACATAAACATGCCTTCTAAAATGAGGCAATTTGTTTCAGCTTGGAAGTAAAATGCAATCCAAAGAAAGCACTTTCTTTCCAAGGAACGTTAGCTTGATTTTCCTAATAAATATTAATTTACCAATTAATAAGATACATTAACTAAATGCTTTTAGGTCTCTGAAATAAAATTAATAACCTATGAAAATACTGACTAGATGAACCACTATATGAAGTACAAAAACATATACGATAACATGACCATGACAACATTATTATAAGGTTTGAATTTCCACAACCAATTCAAAGCAGCACTGCTTGTCTGCAAGAAAAATACAATCCAAAAGATTAATTTTATGAGTTAAAAGTCAAAATACAGTAAACTTGAAAAAATCTGAAGACTTTCTGGTAGCAGTTGTATATAAAAGACTACCTCCAAAATATCTGCCACATTTTTACTGTACTAAAAATTAGAGATACTGTACTAGCTGATCAGCAAAGTAAACATACTGTGAAGTGTCTTTGGTGACATTTGACATTGGTGAAGATAGTCCACACAAAATATTTTTAAAAATCCAGAAGTCTTGTAAAATAGTGAGGATTTTATGTAGTGTTATTATTACATCCAACAGGTACTACCATTTCAAGTTCATTTCTGCCTTTGCTGGTAAATTCTTGCTGTTCTTCAGAGTGTGCTGGTTTTAAGGTTTCATTGGTGGCCGAGCAAAAATGGGGCACTCCCTGGGTGATCCCAACAGGCTTGATTTTGGTAGGCTGATGGGAAACTTCAGGGAACTGCATCAGGCGAGGCTTACAGGAGAAGTAAGCCTCACGTCTGTCATCTAATGGTGTAACATGAGCATTATTCTTACAGAAGGTCCCAGTCGAATTTGATTTAAGATGAGAGGGGCAGTCACCAGATTGCAAAGAGAGGTGAGATGGTCTTGCCATCTGCCGTGGGCTCAAAAGTATAGGATTACAAGCCCCCTTCTCTTGCGACATCCTCTTTGAAATCCAAAGATTATTTTTTGGGTTTTGAGAACAACCTCTTAACTGAATATCCTTTTGGCCGTTTGCTGGCTTGAGTTGTTCCATTTCAATTGAACTAAAACTCTGGGCGTGCCCTATTCTTTTTTCTTCTGCCACAGGCATTTTGATGCTGCATGCAGGCTCTTGCTGCCTTGACCTTATAGCGCTAGCATTTTGTCTTAATTCTGAGCTGGATGATTGACCATTCCTTTTCTTTTCTGAGGACCAGTAAAGAGATGACGCTTTCCTGGAGTCCCATTCAGATCTGGAAACTGGAATAAACTGAGTACTGTCCCTGGATTGTACTGGATATACATCACCCAGGTCAAATTCCAAGCTGTCGGTGTCTAGCGACCTGCTCCTCCTGTTCAATGATAAAGGAGACGGCATTGGAGGACTCACTCTACTTAAGCTAAGATGCCGAGGGAGACTGGCAACCCCCCAGCTATTACTGAGAAAGGAACTCTGTTCATAGAATTCAAACATTCGGTCATCACATTCAGCAAAAGCATCCTTCTGCAAGTAGCTTTCATCATAGGCCTCAAAGGGGGATGAGATATCTTCATCGGTAACCATGTCCATCTGACGATCACATTCCCCTTCATTTTCCATATCCACCACATCAAATGTGACCATTGCAGGAAGTACCTGCACATTCTGTGCAAAGGAGGAGCCTGAATCAGCACCGCCAAGACCTTCAGTGAGGTTGCTGAAGAAAGAAGAGTGTTTTGTGAAGTCAACTAATGCTTGAGAAAAACAAACAGCTTGGTCATACTCAGGTTCACTCTTACTGCTACTGGAAGAACAAATGCTTTCTTTATTTTCAGACTGAATGCATCGTCTATTTCCATGCTCCGAGTATGGATCTTGATCTTTCAATTGGTGTGAGTTTGTCAACAACTGTGTGCCAATAATTCCAGCTGTTGGGTTTACATCTAGTGGAGGCCTGCCAATCACTTTTTGATTATGAAGATCTCCATTATAGGGACACATCTGATTACTTCTGCTAATTTCTATAATGTTGCTGGATTCTGGAAGGATACCTTTTGCTGTTCTAATTTGCATCTGTGGAACTACCTGCTCCCCTTTAAGGCTAGCTTGATGTTTTTTGTTCAGTTTAGGGATACATTCAATGATGCTTTTGTCAGTGTAAAATCTGCTCTTAGACAACGCAACTTGATCTTTAATGCAGGACTTTTTCATGCCTTGCAGTTCATGGCAAATGATTTCCTGTTGTATCTTTGCTAGCCTGGCTTCTTCAGTTTCCATGAGGCCAGCTTTAATGGGAAAACCCTGGTATAATTTTGAACCTGTGCTCTGCAAAGTTAAACCTAAAAACTCCAAGGCTTCTGGTGTGGGTGGCTGAGTCTCAAAGGAGAGTTCATCCTCAAGAGGGGGGCTCATGAGGCTATCATCAGGCTCATAGAGTTCATAAAGGGCATCCCCACTGTAACTATCCCTTGGAAGTCTATCCTTTCTGATTTGGCTCAGGCTATCTCCTCCATCATCATCTGGCCCTGGAGTGGTAGAATCATAGTATCCCTCATCACTGTTGGGGACCGATTCCTGCTGGTCACTTTGTGGAGTCAAGATGTCACCTGATGAATGGGTGGTTTCTACAACAGCTCGGAGGAAAGAAGGATTAGCAGAACCATCCAGATGTGGACAGGGAATAGCAGGGGCCTCAGGAATCATTTGAAGGTTGGTGTCATGCTCCATTAAATTTGGCTGTTGGCTGGGAGTATAGCAAACATCTGCAGCAGCTTCATTATCCCACACGTCATGCAGGTAATTCTCATCAACTTCATCAGGAGTTGCCATTTCTTCCCCTCCTCCCTGGTATGTGACATAACAAGAGCTCCTCTTCCCAGCATTACGATTTCTTTCACCTGAAATTGTGCTTTCAGCTACACTGTCATCGTCTTGGTCAGCAATGATGTCTCCACACCCTGTCAGTGAATCAAAGCTCTTCAAAGAGGCAACATCCCCAAATATTAAGCTAATTTGATCAGAGGAATTAACAGAGGGTGGATCGTTATCTATACAGTCAGGATTCACATCAGGGGAACAGGTGACCTTGGAGTCTGTGCACAGTGTTGTTCCACCTACATTAAGGATCTCGGCTATCTCAGCTTGTGCATGCTCAACATTTTTTACAATTTGATCTTCATTGAAAGGTTCTGTATGGTCTGTATCACCTTTGGCTACACTATTTTCCAAAACAATGTCATCTTCAGCACATTCAGGCATACCAATTAAAGTCTCTCTACTATTCTGCATAACAGGCAGATTAGTTCCTGCCGAACAGTCTTGACACTCGGTCTCAAGTTTGCTGGTACTTGACTGACGAGCAGCCAGTGAGTCTTTAAGATTCTCTCCAGACACCTCAGTGGTATTACTTTTTTCAGAATCAACAGCTTTATTCTTTTTGTGCCTCCTAATGCTGCTAAACAGCCCCTTTAATCCTCTCTTGGGACGGGGGAAGGATGAAGACTTGTCTGTACTTAGCTTGCCATCACAGAACTCTGAGTTTGGCGAGAGTGAAGTGTCCACGTTGGGAAATTCTGGCCTCTTACAGGGATCATTTACTAAATGAGCACTTTGGGAGCTTGTGAGCATCCTGACAGTCAAACTTTTCTGGCAGTGGTATTCAAAGTCTCCTGCTGGAACATCACCTGCTCTTTTACCATCCTCCCAGCTCACTTCTGTGATACAATCGTGAGTTTTGCTCTTGCTCATTCCCTTTTTAGATGACACTTTTCCATGACCTTTGTTTCTTCCTCCAAAGAAACTAGGCAAGGTGCAAATACTCTTCCTTCCCCCAAACAGCTTGAAAGCAGTTTTCTTAAGCTTTCCGGGAGGCTGTTGCTCAGGAGCACCACCTTCAACAGGCTCGGATGGTTTGTCTGCCTCAAGCTCCAGGGCAGAACTCCCGCTGGCCGTTTCCTCACAGCCACCAGACAAAGGCTTTGTTCCAGCTGTCTGTTCACTTCCTGTACTAGGCTCCATGGCAACCACGTTTACAGGAGGATGCGTTCAACTATAAATGTGGGTGAAAATGGTGGTGCGAAAGCCTCCTTTAGAAAGAATGTGTGGTGCCATTTTTTCTCTGTAAAACAAAGTAATAACAATTTAGTATATATATATACACACACACACATCATGAAACTTTCAGTTGTCAGTACATCTCAAATTATTATGCTTTTCAAGATATTAAAAATCAAAGATTTTTTATGAGACTTCTACAACATAAAGTTTCTGACATACACTTTATCTGAGGAAAATTTCCACTTAATAAAGCAGTCTGAATTACATTTTTCAGACTTTTTCCTCCCCTCATGAGTTCTTTAATTAAATGAAATAACTGAAATCCTACAACTTGGCTGTCGGTCAAGGACAAAAGTCCAAAACTGCTAGCTCATCAAGAATGGAAAATGTAGCAAAACTTATTCATAATCTCACAGACTTTATACCATCAATGCATATTAAGGTAAAAAAGGTCAGACAATTGATGGGCCAAATAAGCAAATAAAATGGTGTTTAATTTATTTGCTTATTTGTGTACTATAATCCTGCTCAAATCATTGTACCCCAACAAAACCTCATTTAGCATTCTGAGTTTTAACAGAAATATAATAGCGATTGTGATGTCAGCTGTCCATTTCATTAAAAGTCAACAAAAAATCAAGAAACTGGCCTTAGAGTGAAAAATTAATATCTTAGTCGTGGATTTTACATGGTGGATTTTGCTCAGTACATCACTGCCAAAATGATTAGCTCTGAAATGATCTTTTAGAGGACACTTTTAAGTTTATTGATGACACGGTAATATTTTTAATTGACTACAGCCTTCATTATCCAAAAGAAGAGTCTTTAGTAAAATTTTCATTTTGTTCAAGAAAAAGCATGAACACAAAAGACAGAAAAAAGCTCGAGTTTCTGGACTACTTGCTCAGTGGCTGAAGTAGCGACTAGACTTTCACATGGAGATGTGGTTATAACATTAGGAACTAAAGAGTCTTGGTAAATAAGTGTGAATTACACCCTAAACAGAGAAATCTGTCATTAGAAGAGTTTATGCTGCTTTCACCATTATTTACTCAATAGCTGTAACACTATTATATTAATGAGGATGAAAGTTCGCCATTGATATCTACAGTAAATAGGACATCAATCTCATCTCTGCACTTAAACTGATAGACTAGTTAAACTACTATAAAATGTTTATTGATTAAATGCCTCAGTATACTTCTAAAAACATTAACATAAGTTAAATTAACAATTCATCTAAAAACCTTTAAAATGAAGACACAGAAAAGCCATATTTGGAAATTAAATTAGCTATCATATCGTTGTTTTTATTACTTTAAAATTCACAACTATTTTCTGCAAAAAAGAAAACATGATTTTACAATGCACAGCCATTATCTGTTTTTCTGCCTCCCTGTCTGTGTTAATTCCACTAGAAAACCACCAATATTATTTAAACTGAAATAAAGTGTTTCTAAAGGTGCTTATTAATTTACATTTAGCTACGATCTAAAGCATGTAAAGACAACACAGCAAAACTGTGTTCGAATACATCTTTTAAAACAAAATTACTGCAAACAGCTTCAGAAATCTGAAGTAGGATTTTAACAAAACTCCTACTTTGTGGACTAGAAGCGTCTTAAACCTCTAAGTACAAAAGTACATTTTTTCTTGGGTTTAATATTGAAATTGCACAAAAAGAACACTAATGACATCTTCATATCCACTGTGATTTATTACAATTCATACAGTATCTCATGGACCTGAATCCTACAGAGGGATGCTACTAAAGAACATTCAAGACTACAAACGCAGAATCAAATAATTTATATAAGAACATGTCATCAGAGACATCAACACTATCCTGCAGGTGTCCAGCTGGAGAGGTCAAAATTGCCCGAAGCACAAAACCATTAAAGTACACAGAGAACTGCAGGGCATCTGCACAGCATTGCAAAAGTGGGAAAAACAATATGTTTTTAAAATAATTTTACAGACCTCATAGAAAAAAGAAAATATTTGCTTGGACTTGAACTATATCTTTTTGTTTTTAAATGATTCTTCCTAAAATCACGTTTTGTGAATGAAGAAAGTTCAGCACTGCATCACTGACATCAGATTTAGGAGAACACCAAGATGAATTTAATAACCACCATTCAAATTCTAAACAAATAATAATAGACTACAAGATTAACTGTGCACAAGCTTAGGGTTTTTTTTTTCATCTTAGGAGCTAAAATGTTAGAAAACAAATTTATCAATGTTTCAACATAAAAAAATCCAGAAATAATTGGCCTTATTACTCCTTTAAAAATTAAGTGATGTTAAACAATTCTGTATCTTAGGACCAAAATTCAATAAGAACTCCAGTTTGAGAATTTTAACATGGTAACTAAAAACATAAAACTTCAAGAATGTAAAACTATGTTATTTTCTTTCCTAAATGCCTAGAAATCTAGGTTAACATTGTTGAAGCTAAATGACTGAAACCAAAGTCAAACATTATTAAAGATCATGATCAAGACTGAGCAAAACTACTCCTTTGACACAAACAAAAGGTGTCTGAGTTCCAAAAGAAAATATTTTACAGCTATTTAAAATGCCATATAATAAGCACGATTTTGCAAGAAAGTAGCTTTCTCAAATTAAAATGAAAACAGCATTTCCAGCCAAGGACTGCTTTTAGGCATTCGCATTTTACAGAATTTTTAAGTTTATTTTTTTCTGCTGTTCTTTCAGAACTAACATGGAGGATTCAGAACATATACCTGCACGACGACAAATGGGATTGGTCTTTAAGATTTAATTTTGGATACTGCATGCAATGTTGCAGGTCAATACTCGAGCCCATTCCTGTTGAGGAGTCTGTGTCATTGATGTCTAAAAACTGAAGGTCCAAATTGCTTCAAGTAAGGAATTCTGTATCCAACTTGAATATCCACCCTTGTAGTAACTACACATACTTGCACGTTTCAAAAGGTCCATTGTAAAAAGACAATAAAAGGATTTATTTTCAAATCAAACCAAAATGCTTGGTCATTTCACAAACTGACTTTCAGACAAAGGTATAAAAAAAGCTAAGAAAAGGCTAAGTTAAACCTCATTTCATAAACTCAGAAAATATAATCAACTCCAGTTACATGTAGCATTGTCCTACCCTTTGAAAGTTAGTTTACACTTCTGTGCTGTCTTCTACTAAGACAAGGTTGTTTTCAATGCTCTGTGAATACAACCATCACTAATGCTTTAATAAGAACACAGACTTTAGTAACAGCACAGATATCTGAAGAACAGTTTCAATTCAAGTTTTACTCTCAGTCAAAAACCTCGTGAGGCTTATCTTTAACAGTGAAAACTTTTTTTGGTAAGAGACCTCATCAAAACAAAGCCCCAAAATTGAACAACTAATGAACTATTTATAGTCTTCTGAGAAAACAAAATAGATTTAATTTTTGTATATTAGCAATTCAAACATGTACATATGAACTCCGTTTTCCCTAAATTGTATAATAGTAGATTAACAAAAAGTATTAAATATTTTAAAGAGATTAGCAAATTTTAAAAATAGAATCATTTATTGCCTATTTTTAATACCTTAAAAGTTATTTACATTCAAACCTAGATTATACTTAAACCTTAATGTAGAAATACCATACAAGGAAGATAATTGAAAAAGGACATATTTAAAGTTTTTCGCCAGTACCTCTTTGCGTTTGTCTCTTGGAACGGCATTTTGTTCACATTGCATAATTTAACTGAAACTCCATTTTAACTCCATTGTATGTTTTAGAACTCAAGGGACATAAAATGCGTTATTAATGTTCAGTAGTTTTTTAAGCCATTTTTTCCATTTATGTTAGATGAATACTGTGGGTTTTTTTAGCACACAGCAGCTGCACAGCCGACCACAACAAAGCTGAACTCAACACAGCTGCAGAAAGGCCTACTCTTCCTATGTGCTTCAGTTGTACTGTTCGGATTTGGAAAGAAAAGAGCAAACATGTCAACATTAACATGATGAATATCCCAGTCCAAATAGAAACGAATTAGTATTTATCCACCTTTAACAACTAGATAGAAGGTAAAATGACATCGATGACCGGGAAATCAGAGTTTAACCTCCACGTTGTTTTGCAATGCGTCCCACCGAACACAAACACACTGTTGATAGAATAGTAGAAATACAACGTAAATCCAGTAACAAATTTGTGCATGCTGCGAAACAACTTGACCTCCAACGCCAGTACAAAATTGTTAGGATTGCAACCCCATTTTGATCCTGACAACAAGGTACCCTTTATTTTTTCAATCGCAAAGGTAACCGTTGCAAAGGGGAACTCAGTTACCATTCGTTTAAATACCATTTTTACCCTGACGTATTCACGCTGGGGAATGAAAGATAGGGAAGAATATGTCTCACCTGGTAGATACATTCTGATAATATTCCCAACATGTTCTGGAATAACTGAAGGTTCTAAATCCGGTTCACTTTTTTGTTTGATCCCTGTTCGTTCCTTCCTTCCCACCACCTCGACTCCAGTTGGAGCTGCTTGGTGCTGAGCGACTACAAACTACAAATACAAATTTAAGGCGGTACCGTTTTAAGAAAGTCAGATTGAAGGGAGCAACATGCCTATTAGAGACCCCAAAGAGGGGGTTTTGGCCAATCCTACGAAGAGGCGGGATGGGAGCGTTCATTCTGTTTATCGGAGAAAGGAACCTCTACCAGGCACGATCAACTGTTAGCAAGGCGACAGATGGAGCTTGTGTGTATCGCTACATGTTGCTGTACTGGTTCTATTGTTTCCTATATGATGATGTGGGGAAAAAGGTGAAGATTTCGTAAGGAAAAGGTGGTACTGTTAGAGATCTTTAATGCCTTTCATGAAATTCAATTTCTGTGGGAAAGGTCCGCCAATACCATGAATGCAAATGAAGAACGCTCGTTTTTTACACTTAATCCATTTTGTAATTAAACGATTTGATTGAAGACCACCTTACAGAGTTTATGTGCAATCAGTAAATAAGACGTATTTTTTTATTTGTGTTAGAATCCAGTTAATATAACGTGCTAGACTTGACTAAATTTTTGTATTGATTTTTATAAATATTCCATTGTAAAGTATGTTTACAATAGGTCGCCTAATATAATTCCTAAATTTGTCCCTAGAGCACCCCTGAAGCAGTTTTTTGAGGAAACCAAAAAACATATTTTTTGGGTTCTACCTGAGTTCTTAAGATTACGCTAATTATTTTAGCGTAATTATTCCTTTATGAATATTTTTAAGTGCATGCAGCTCTTTGAAATTCAGCATTTAAGTAGAATTGTAAGTGGTATCAACCCTGTAATTTCTGAATTTCAGAACTCATTCATGTGTAAGCTGAAATGTAAACTATTGGACTGCTGCAGAAGAAAAAGAAAGCTGAATTATAAGACATTGTCCTCACTACCTATGGTTGTTCATTCTAGATTGAAACCTATTTGAGAGCTCTCCAGACTCCAGACAGAAATAAGGGAGTAAATTCTGAATGCTGAAATACATAAGAACAGTACATAAAGGGTAACAAGAGTCCAAACAAACAGGTCAATTAAAACCATCTGTTAGGATCACTGATTATCAACCAAGGTGGAATGCAAACCACTGATATATACTGTAGTGTACAGAGATTAGAAACTTACAGTGGTCAATTAAAATCAACAAAATTTAAAACATAGAAATTAAGTAAACACAAGAGTTTGCAAACTAGAGGAAGACAATACGGCTCATCTAGCATGTTTGGTTTTTATTCACTAGGTTTATGCACAAAGCACATTCATCCTAGTGAATGCTCGTGTCATAATGTTGACAGTTTGTTAAATGGTACATATAATTTTTTTAGCATAAAGCTTGTTTTTAAAGGATCTCATCTAGCCATTTCTTGAAAGAAGCCAGACTATTGGCTTCAACAAAATGGCTGGCTAACTTGTTCCATACAACCACACCCTTTGGTGTAAAGAAGTGCCTCCTGTTCTCGGTTTTAAATACACCTCCCTGTAGTTTCCAGTTATGTCTTCTCTGGTTGATTGTGTTGATACAGAGTTCATTGGGTTGACCTTGTGAATGTCTTTGAATATTTGAATACTTGAAACAACTCCCTTCATATTCTTCTGTATTTGAGATTAGAGTCATTTAGCTATTTTAACCTGTCAGAATATTATTTTCATTTGACTTCATGAATGTACCTTGTTGCTCTTCTGTGGACTAATTGCAGAACAGCAGTATATACTGTATATATTACAGAACAAGAAATAGGTTTATTCCATGCTGAAAAGAGAAGAGAGAAAACACAATATTCTTTTGTATTGTTGTGGCACAAGCTGAACACAATACACTAAATGATGTCACACTTGTATAATTTTAGCATGACATCTCATGATTTAAATTGTATGTTTTTGAACTACATACCCAACCATTTTGTTTGCTTCCCCATATGGTCAAATATAGCGGTAGGCCAGGTCTAACTTACAAATCTCACATGTTCGGAACAAGTGACAAGTTGTGGTCAGAGGCTCAGCTGTGATTTAACTTGCATCTTGTTTAAGCCTGCATATTTGATACACCAAGCAAGTCTTTCTTTGGTGATTCAACTATATCAGTACTTCTTTCCAATCACATTGCCCCTGTTTGAGGTCACATATGTACTGCAGTCTGTTGGTGTTCCCTGATCCATCAGAGTAGTTATATCTCCCACAATAGCTACTTTCTCCTGCTTTAAATTATAATATCTGTTTGACCAATATAGATTCTGAGACCCATGATTTATAGGGTTTAAGGTCCTCTGCCTGGCTGTTCTTTTTGAACACCTCAATCTTTCCTCTCTAATTTTATGTATCCATTGATGTTGCTATCATTACTCTCTCTTTGTTAACCATATTGCTGTGATTATGTTTACATCATAATTTGCTGTAAGTGCAGTATCTCTATTGCTTGTATTTTTATTTCATGTGGTTCTGCTCTCTGTGTTTCTTCCAAACTTATTTTATTTGGAAGATCCCACATTCAGTTATACTTCCAATGTTTTTGAAGTTCTGCAAATTCAAAATTACTTTAAGAGTGTTTCCAGTGGCTAAGAAAGTTGAAGCCTTCTTTTTCAACAGACCCTGCACATAGTCTGGTGTTGTATTGAAAAAAAAAAATAGTTTATACTACCGTGTGCCGTGCTAATGACAGGTGATGTTTTTTTTTTCTGCTGCATGACTTCCATGGTGATTCTGACCTAACACATTAAGAAAACCAACCTTCTTTATAGAATCAATTGCAAATAAATACCTACTGTATCCATACCATTATTTTCTTTTTGTTAAGCTCCACATTTTAAAGCTATAATAATCTAAATAGTATCAGTAGTGTACTTACCAATCAAAATCAACACACAGGGTGCTGTAATACAAGTAATACAACATTAATTACATGTTTTTAATTCTTAATTTGTTTTCCAGATAGATGGAACAGGATGACCATCCAGTTTGCTGTTAAAGAAATAATCTACTGAAAATCTTGTTGTGCTATTGTATAACTCTGGTTCATTTTAAATTCCACAGAGAAGATACATGAAAGTCATACCTAAATATTTTAGACATCATGTTATGAAAAATAAAAGACTAATAATGTATATTAACATTATGTCCTGCCCACTCGAAACTACCATTGTGTGTCTTTACATTGCACAATCTTGGTCTTAAGTTCCTCAAGACCACTTTCCAAGTAGGACACCTAGTGGCTACTAATAAAATTGTGATTTCCTTTGCAAAGCAGAAACATTACTTAGTAGTTTAATTCATTCAAATCCTTCAAAAGGCAGAGCTGTAGATTAAGAATGAATTGTGTTTGCAACCACAATGAACAGGAGCAAATTCAATCCATTTTGACAAATTAATGTGAAATGCTGCAGAACTAAGCTTTTATTGTGATGTCACAGACACTCTTACAAAGTAGAAACAAAGGGACATTGCTTGCAATTAATCGTTTACAAGGAAACATTTACAAGATATTCTACATTAATAAGCAATTACATATTATTTCTAGAAAGGTAAAAAAAACATTTAAGAAAAGTCTCAGATAAAAATTAATGACAATATTTAAAAGTATGACACTTTACCACATTCTTTTGTTTTCACTACACAGTACACAATACAATTTATATAAATAGTACAAAAATTCCTATGAAAGAAAGCTTAAAAGATCCTTAGCTAATTAGAATTGGATGAACATTTTTGCTTGATGCTGTAAAGCACAAAACACTTCAGGACTAAAAGATAGTCAAATTAATCGAATGGAATTAATAACGAAATTGACAACAGCCAATTCAATCTGCCCCAGCTGTCAGTGATTAGAAATCAATCCTGATTTTTCCTAACCTAAACATCATAAATACTATGCATAACGCTCTTCTCTCCCTCACATATGCATTTTGTAACCCTCCACCCTATCTCCACCTCTGCAGCTGGCCCTTGGTCACTGGCCCTTGGACACTGCTTGAGTGTCCCAGCCTCCTCTTCCTATGACCAGGAGGTTAAGCTAAATTACTGTAACAAAACACCCAATAAACATTTTAATTACACCTAGTTCTTGGGTGTTGTTATTCCTAGGGAGAGCTATTTTAAAAGTAAAGTATTTTACTCCTGCAAAAAAAATAAATCCAACTCATTTTTATGCCGTGGTTACACATGAATAACATGGCACCGTTCATATTTAAAAGGCACAGCTGCCTACAGTACATCAATAAAGATACAGAGCTGGATGTCTCATTCAGATCCCATGCTTCAAGTACTTCTTCAGGCTTGTTGGTATGTCTAGGTGATCCATACAATGTGTTCTGTTGATAATTTTCAGATGCCTTCGGATAGCAAGCCTGCATTGAGACATAAGAGTTCTTGGACAACCTAAAAAAACAAAACAAAACAAATACTGTCACCTGCAAAGTTAAACGCACACAATTTTCTATTAGAAACTTTTTTGGCAGCATCAAGAGATAATGTGAAATTTTAACTACATTCAAAGATAAACTAATATGATTAACGGTGATATTAAACTCAAATACATATGAGTTGGGAGTATTTATTATAATCTAACTCATCCAGTACAAATCAGTGTCTGTGATTTTAACACATCTTTTTTTAAAATCTGATTTTGTGGGTAAAATTAAGTTGTAAATAAAACTTATTCAACATTTTAAATAAAATTAGTAATTACATTCAAACACTGGAAACTGAACATTCTAAGGATGGTACAAATGGCATTATTGAAAAGTTACAAAACACAAAGTAAACATGTTTACTATATTAGATGAAGTGAGCTACTCATAATTTAATCTCCATTTATTTGCAATTCTGTATGTATGTATATTAAACATAATTGAATTTGATCGTAGTATGTGTCTATAGGAGAACTGTTCAGAATTTAGAATAATTATAAGGTATATTATCAGAAAGAAGGAGTTGCTTACTGAAAAAGTGAGTTTCTTACCATAACCCTATTTTGGGGTTTATAATCTCTTTTGCAAACCTTTTTAAAGATATCAAGTGACTTAAATCAAACCTGACAAACAGGCATCCTGTATACTCCTGTGTGCAAGCAATATGTAATAACAGTTATGATTATAATAGTTTATTCTCACCTCTTTCATACAGCAATAATTCTACAGCTTCATTTTGCTTTGTAGATTTTTCTATAATGAGTGTGGGAAGGTAAACATTTGCCCCAAAATCTATCAACATTTGGACGAACTCAACCCCACATCCACGTCTAAGGCACAGCTCCAGCACTGTCTTGGGCTGTCTGATCCTTTTAAACAGCTTTTCATCAACGCAGTTGTAATTTGGATCTGCACCATAAAGGAGAAGAATTCTGAAACACTCCAGGTGGCCATAAATTGCAGAAATATAGAGAGGGCCACTGGAAACAGCACTGTCTGGAGCCCAGAACAGAAATTTAGATTTTGCATTGACCTCAGCACCATAATGCACAAGTTCCCTTAAGATGTCCACATCTCCATCTCTGGCTGCAGTCAGCACTGGAAAACAGTTGTTGTATAAGCTGCCATTAGGGTTAGCCCCAGCCTTCAGAAGGGCCTGGACACAGTCCAGATGCTTGCCGCTGACAGCAGTGAAGAGAGGAGTCTGGGCCTTGACGTCCAAGCTGTCCACCTCAGCACCGTGAGCCAACAGGACCTCTAAACACCTCAGGTGACCTCGAGATGCGGCCATGCGGAGTGGGGTGCCAGGAATACCCCAACCATTCCTGCTGTTGATGAACTTCCTGTATCTTTCCTGGGAGAGAAGCTTTGCGAGGTGTTTGTCGTCATCGTTAGACACTGCCTGGTGGAGCTCACTTCTTTCACCGTTGTCTTCGAGCTCTTCTTTGGGATGAAGCAGCAAAAGGAGCTTGGAAAAACAGAGCTAGAGGTAGGCATTGTCCAGAGTGTATTCTTAAATTATAGTCTCAACTGGCACAGCTTAATGCAGATGTTTATTAGAAGTATTTTAGTGTGGGGATGGAGGTTGAGGGGATAAGATGATTATGACAAGCAGAGCATAACTTGCAAATATGGACATATGTTCTCATGATGTTCACAACACAACCTAATTCTAACCCAACACTACAACAACCAATAATAACAAAATAGCAGGACATAAGATAAACGAGAGCTCCTTAATAAGATCTTCAAAACTAACGAGGGTCATCTCTAAGGGATAAATAAAGATGTTTCCACAAACACATCTGCATAGAGCCGTAGTAACCAGATATCCAGAAGTGAGATTTGCAACATTATCAACGGAGAAAACAATGCATCAACTTAACATTAAAAGAAGACGAAAGTACATAAGAGAAGTTACCTCTCTGATTGTTGTCATTTATTATATTTCCATCAACTCAAAGCATACATCGAATGCGTCAACGATCACGGTCAAAAAGAGTCGAAGCCCTTGATGTAAACAACAGGACAACAGTTCTCACAACATACAATAAAAACAGAAAATGTTACTACGTTTTTATCAGCACAATAGTGTGCTAGGGGATATAATAATCGACATCACTCGTCTTGTTTCTTAATATGACGAGATAATTCTACTATATAGTTAATATAGTAGCGTGATGCTAGCTAATAGATAAAATTAAATAACAACTGTACAACAACCACATCCGGTTTTTCCTTCCGTTCACTCTGGCTTTTCCCCTGCTTTAGTTGACATTTGATTCGCTACTAGCGTTATACGAATCATTATTGACACTACAACAACCCAATAAGGACATACAGTCTTGGCCAATAGGAGAAGGTTCGGCAATGCACCAACTTGCAGTTCCTTTTGATTCCATACTTTACAGAAAAAAGAAAAGCGTCGCGTAATTTTTAGCAGATTTAAATAGCCTATAACTTTTTCAAATATTTAACGTCAGTGCAACATAGGTTAACACTCTAAGAATCCGATGTCTCACTCCTCTTTGTAAAATGTGATTTTTAAAATTTCTTCATTTTACAAGCTCAATACAATACTACATAGATGGCTAAATACCAAACAAAATGAATACCATTAGAACTGTTTTTATGGAAGGAACCAGAGTTTCACATGGGAAGCTTAAATCCTAGTAAAAACAAGACAATTGGGAAAAACTATATTTTGTTCTAATGCTGATTTGAGTAAAGTAATAACCCGGTCATGTTAATAAAAACAACAATGTTCATCAGATGCAGAAAGTATTTATTTTGCAGATGATAACTTCAAACGTGAATACTTTTAAAAAAGAGACGAATAGTAATGGACTAATAAGACACAACTAACAGTTCCTTCTGCCGGTGAATTAAATAATGTGGGCACGAAGACTGCGGGTTTCAAAAATGAAATGTAATCTTAACTATGATACTAGAGCAAACCAACTATATTTGGACCAAAATGTTTTCATATAAAATAAAAATACTGGCAACAACTAACTTTAACTAGTAACTAAATAAGTAAAACATTTATATTACAATAACGTAGCGATTCCGTCATTACAATGAATGTCATTCAAAATTAATTCACGTAACATATAAAATGTCACCACTCCTAGGTAACCAAAATATTTAACAGGTCTCTGAAGTGTTAACAGACAATAAACTGATTTTCCTGTGTATTCACTCTCCTGTGTAAACTAAACTAAAATTATATGAAGATAAAGTCTTTTGCTTTAGCGAAATTGCATCTTTTAAAGAGTTAAATCAATCTATGTGTTCAATCTTGATGAACAGAAATTATTTTGGATGAATGAATAGAGAATGTCAAGGCAGTTTAAGAAAATACATAAAGCTGGTAAGCATTTAGGACAGGTATGATCTCAATTTGAATACGATTTGATATTCTATATATTGAATTCATTCTCTGTCTAACATATAATTAAAGAAAATACAGACTGGAGAACAATGTTAAGCTCGGTTTTTGTGTGTGGTATTTTCGTATTTCTTGTTATTTTAAAGCTCAACCTCCTGACTGTAGTTAGAATTTAAAAAATCAGTACCATACTATTTAAAGACACCTTGGATGACTGTGAAGATCTTTAAAAAATGTTTTGAATCCATATGGACACACAGCATATTCCTGTTTTAACCACAATTGTCTATCTTATGTCTAAGTGACAATAAACAAGCAAAAGTTCACTCTGGATGGTGCAGTGGTTAGCATGACTGCCTTGCAGTGCTAGGGCACTGGGTTCAGTTCTGGACTTGGGCTGCTGTCTGCATGGATTTTGTATTTTCTCCCTGTGTTTGAGTGGATTTCCTATGAGTGCTGTGGTTTCCTCCCACAGTCCAAAAGACATACTGTTAGGTTAATTAGTTTCTGGGAAAATTAGCCTTGGTCCGAGTGTACACATGTCTGTGTGTGCCTGTTGCTTGCTGGCTAAAAACCTGGATCCGCCTTGGTTCTGAATTGGATAAAGAAATTGGATGGATTGAGGTCACTGTTTAAACAATTGCATCACAATTAAAATGATTTGAATTGAATTTCAGAACAATCTTTCAGGGAAGAAGAGTTTTCTTAACACACATATTACATGTGGCTTTGAACTAGTGTATCCATGGCGCAGCAATTAAGTATTGCTGAGTTTCAGCTGTAGTTAGGTCCCATGTTTCAAATAGTTCCTCAGGAGTGGTGGGATGTCCAGGCAGTACATGGAATGCATTCTGTTGACTTTAAAGAGGTACCTTCGAATTGCTAGTCTTGACTGAGACATCAGAGTTTTGGGGCAAACTGTAAAACAACAGAGAACCGTTAACTACGCCTATATTATAGCATGAAAGCAAGTAAGTTAAAACATACATATTCATAATTTCAACATATTCAAATTAAACTAACATTGATGTAGTCTGATTCATATATTAATATTAGTGATTGATACTATGTGTTCCATTGTATTTTTTGAGGGCATCTGCAATATTAGAGCAAAATGCTCCATTGTTGACAAAGAGTTTCTATTCAAATGTAGAATTGTAAAATAACATTATTTTTGCTGAACATGTGGTTATCATTTGAAGTTGTTCTATTACTGAGGAAACTGGATCATGAGTTCCATTTCCTAGCAGCAAGAGGCTATGGAATTTGTGTTAATACATTTTAATATTAATATTTAATATTGGCTATATACTATTGTATTAATGGTTTTATTAGTATGGCTTCATATTAACATGTTATATTAATATGCATTAATAGGAGAGAAAATATACTCACCTCTTTCTTTTATTAATAGCACTATCGCTTCATTTTGCTTTGTTGTTTTTTCTATAATGAGATTTGGCAGGTAAACATTTGCTCCAAAGTCTATCAAGAGTTGGATATACTCAACTCCACAGCCATATCTGAGGCACATCTCCAGCACTGTCTTGGGCTGTTTGATTCTAGCAAGGAGCTTTTCCTCAGTACAATTATAGTTCGGATCTGCACCATGTAGCAGAAGAAATTTAAAACAGTCCAGATGTCCATAAACTGCAGAAAGGTAAAGTGGGCCACCACAGGATGCTGCATTTGAGGCCCACTCAGGAACTTTTGATCTAACATTGACCTCAGCACCATACTGTAGAAGTTCCCTCAAAATGTCCACATCTCCTTCTCTGGCTGCAGTCAGCACTGGGGAGCAGTTGTTGTACAAGCTGCCATTAGGGTTAGCCCCAGCCTTCAGAAGGGCCTGGACACAGTCCAGATGCTTGCCGCTGACAGCAGTGAAGAGAGGAGTCTGGGCCTTGACGTCCAAGCTGTCCACCTCAGCACCGTGAGCCAACAGGACCTCTAAACACCTCAGGTGACCTCGAGATGCGGCCATGCGGAGTGGGGTGCCAGGAATACCCCAACCACTCCTGCTGTTGATGAACGTCCTGTATCTTTCCTGGGAGAGAAGCTCAGTGAGGAGTTTGTCATCATCGTTAGACACCGCCTGGTTGAGTTCTTGTCTTTCACCGTTGTCCTCCTCTTCCCTGGGCTGAAGCATGGAAAAAATCTTGGAAATGTCTACTAAACTCATGTTTACTGCTGTCACAAGTACCATTATTCACACCAGTGGCTCCATTCTTTAAGACAATGCCTGAAAATATGGGAGAAAAAAATAATTAAACATGAGCTACAATAATTAAACAAACATTGTACTAATCAAACATGAATAATTAAAATATTTTTTTTTATTAAATTACAAAAAATACATGAATATCATATGATATAGTACCTAAATCCTGTGATATAATAAACTACCAAACAACTACATATTTCATTGTACATTTTGAATAATAAGTAATTTAACTATACCACAGATCAACAGAATTGTGCAGTGCCACAAGCGTGGGAGTATTCAAGACAACATATCCATACAAAAGAGAAGGCTCATGCTGGTGCCTTAATATATATATATACAAACAGCTTACCGTGTTGAAAATTAGCTGCCACCATTACCGATGACTTAACAAAAGAAACTCTGATGATGTTGTTGATGACGAAATCCTATCCATCACCTATGGATTTGGCAACTAGTTTGATTAAAAACTAAGGACTAAAGTTTCTTTTTCTGTTATGGTAGTAACAAACACCCTGAAGCAAAGTGTTTCACTGACTGAAATACCTTAGGAACACAGAATAGATTGGTCATCAGGGGGGGCTAATTTTAGCCTTCAGATTGATCCCCCTAAACTTCCATTCTTGGAGAGCTGTAGCTTGGAGAGTAAATTTAGATAGGTGATAGGCATGCACTACTGTTGGCTTGGTTCAGATGACAACACACAGACAGATACCACATTCGTTTATAAAAACTGGTTTCAAAAGAAAATAGATAGTACATGCATACATTTTTACTTGTTGAAAATAGGTCTGATATATATTTTGTGGATGACTATACTAATATTCTAGCTTATAAATACTAAGGTTTACTAAAATGCCAAATTTACTAAACATCTGAGAGAATGTTTTATTCAATATTCTATTTTTAAAGGGTCTTTTACTATTTGTATGGAACAGAAAAACTGATCTCCAAAAAAAGCAATATGTAAAAAATATTCTGTATATCTTCCAAATTAAGAAAGATAAAGTTAATTCTGACAGGTCATATAGTGTAATTGCTAATATACATAATTTAAGGACAGAAAAGAGTTAACATACACTAGTTCTAAACACTTTCCATGGTGTTGCCATCTTCTGAAAGCCTTCAGCTGTCAAGCTCTCTGAGTTATGGATTACAGTCAGCTGTTTCAGACACTGCCAAGTTTTTCATGGTAGGAAATCTTGAGCTACAAAGCAGTTTTACTGCAGCTTTTCATCGAAAGGCCCAGGGTGGTCCAGAGATAAAGCTACTGTTGTATTTGCACTTATCTTCAATTGAGTGTGGTTCATGTAACACTATCAATGTGAGGCTAAATTAAAGAAGATGGGTTCAAAAAGTCAGTAGCACCTGACAATCAGTGCAAGGAATATCTCCATTATGTAGAAGACTCCTTTGAAAACTTAATTATTCCTTCTTTAAAACCTGAAAGTGACACAGATGTTTGTTTTGCACCCATTTTCATCCCATGTGGTGTTTTATTTCAGTGAAATATGAAATAGAAAAATTAAAGTCAACGGGATGCCCCTGAAAAGGAAATAAAAAATAACAATTTCATGGACATACAGTACATTCAATATGTCTGGACGGTCAGATAGAGGGAGGGGACATTTTAAGAATAATCACAACTAAACATGAAAAGATTTGAACAAGAAAGTTCACAGACACAAAAAATATGTATATTACATATTTATTACATTTATACTTTGAAAAAATGGCACTGCTTTACAAATACACCTCTTTAAATAATTAAAACAAAACAGATGTTTTTTTTAAATCAAACAGACTATTTATCAAATACAGTACAAAAGTGTGGCGACAGTGCATATATAGGAAATGTAATCCTTAACATTACAACTGTGAAACGTAAAAAAAAAATGAAAAAAATACTATGAAGTTTAAATTTACATAGTGAGTGGGCAATTGTTCCCTTTGATAGGAGCTCAAAGAAAGACACCAGTATGTGTTATACTGTCTATAGAACATCACATAGCAGTTTTAAAACTAGAATTCTTTCACAAAATGGCAACAGAATCCATCACAACAGTAGTATCAGAATGGGATGCAATGTTCTCAGAGAGTGCAGTATACCAAAACAGTTAAAAAGATCATTTTTGACACTATCCATACCTATTCTGTCTATATAGACAACATTCATAGCAGTACAAACACACAAGGTTAATATGGAGAAACACTAAGTTTGCCTGTTGTTAACATGAATTTGTAATAGTTGTTTTCTTTCATCCTCTTTACCCAAAATAATATCATTTACATGGTTTCACAGAGCTCCTCCAGGTTTCTAAATGCTATCAGACTGTTTGATCTTTTTTAATCTCAAACACCTCCTTTTATTGGAAGAACTCCATGGAGTCCTTCCAAGCTCAATCTAATACTGTCAGATAAAAAATAAGATGACCTAAAACAATCACTTTGTCAAGCCCTTATTTTTCAACACAAAGTAAAAATTAGGAATTGCTTTAAATATGGAAGACAAAAAAACTGTAACCAATTCAAAATACCACCTTCACGGACACAACTAAACCCAGAAATGTGCTTTAGAAATGTTAACAAAGAATCAATGCTGCTTGAAAAAAAAAACTGCAGGTTATAATGTCATTATAATGTCTAACATTAGAATCAATAGGTATTAAACACACATTAAAATCGTATAGTCAGGGCACTCAAATTTAAGACATATGGTGGTAAGCAAAAATACGTGTATACAGAAAAATAAATTGATTTACAAAACTTGTCAGCAACAGAAATGTTGAAATGTCATATTTTCAACTCAATATATATCATTGCCTAGGCAAAGTGAGGCTTTTTTACATATCTGTCACTCTCTGAAATGTAATACTGTGTTTTGCATTTTGTTTTCCCGATGAAGATGAGTCTTAAAGTTCTGAAAGCTAGTATTCCTCTAGGACTCTGAGAACTGGATTTTTAAAAATCAATAATGACACATGATGAAAAGAAAAACTATACTAAAAGTATGATTTTTAAAAAGTAATATTAGGGTAAAGGTTAAAGGCAGAGCCCTGCAATGATACAAAAGAATAGCTGAAAAAAAAAACAAACATGAAGCCAGATTACTGGTCTACAATATTTAAGAATTCACAAATGTCTCCTGCTTTTATAGCCTACATCGAGACAGTAAAGATCCATATAAATTCTAAACTTTATTGGCTTCCATTTAAAAATATCCAATACATGTGAAATGACTAAAAACCATGTAAAATAAAGGGACAAATTGAATGATGTGTTAAAAAGCAAATCAACAATAACAAGAAAAGGCTTTGACCTTAGTCTTATAGGCTCATTTTTAAAATAATTTAGAGTAGCAGACTAATTTACTGTTATTTATAAAGAAATTTTAATTCATGAAAGTGCAAATAGTAAAAAAAAACACAAAAATGAACAACTATTTTACAACTAGGTTTTGTACAGTGATTAGAATATTTCAATTATGTTTAAGAACTTCAAATGGAGTAGATTAATAATAAAAAATAAATGTCAAAATACATAATCATTCAGGAAGTGCCAGAATCAGTCCTGCTTGATCAACATTTCTGCAACACCTACTGGCACCTAACAGTATGTACCAATAAACACCCGTGTTGAGGATAAGTTCATTCCTTATGCCTTTGATGTCCGAGACAGTACATCTGAGGATGTAGCAGTATATCCATCCATTTGGAATGCTCTCACACTAAGGAGGAAGATCCCACTTTATTTTTACTCTGAATGACTACACATAACTCAATAAAAGAAACACAGTGTTATGTTAAGATTAGTCTTCACTAGTTAAACCAGAGACAAAAATGAACGACCGTAACACTCTGGTAGTACCCAAACAATATGTGTGCAAACTAGAATACAAGCATACCTAATTTATAGACATATGTAAAGGTGATATTGCATAATATTTTGCGGTCATGGAATGCTACTTTTGCTCTGCAAAGATGAAATTGCAAGAACAATGTCTCCCACGGAAACTAAAATGCCCTTAAAGGCAGACATTCCAACTCCAAATGCATCAGCAAAGAGACTAAAGATTTTGCATAGCACTGCTAATTCTGTTGCAGTAATCAAGCCACTTGCTTATAATGAGAAAAATTAAAAGTGAAAACAAACCCATTCATGGAATCATTAAACAAGACTGCTTGTTTAATAAAGACATGCAGAAAAATGTTAAAATAGTCCACTCAAGCTTTTTACTCCTGTATGTATGAGTACTGGCATTATGATTTTGAGATTTCATACAATCATAAACATCCATTCATTTTTGGTCCTAATATTTGGAATGTATTCCCTTTATTTAAAAAGATATTATCTGTGCTACCAGAATTGTCTTTCCAATGGTTATCATTACAATACAACTATGATGGAAACTATATTATTCTACACTGAAACAAAAATATCTTTAATACAACTTATTTTTTCTTACAGGAGCCCATTGCTTCAGTGCTATCTCCTGCTGTTCCTCTGATAAACTGTTATTATAACGATTTCAAATCTCTCCATACAGCAACTGCAATATTTCTCAGCTAGAGGAAATTGTTGGCTGACAAATGTATCTGAAAAATGGTAATTCATTCCAGAACATTAATGTAAGTCAACCAATAACCTTTGATACCTTCAGAAGAGAAATAAACAATGTCCGGAATATTCCAGAATCACCTGAAAGGGAATGCTGGCTCATACATAGTTGATTCATGAAAATGTTATACGACAGGTTATCGTCATTTATTATTTCCCAAACTATACAAAATGTAAATATTTTTAAATGTTTGAAAGTTGAAACTAGTTAACTGCAGCAACCAACATCACTTGTTTTGATGGGATCCTCTGAAGTCAGTCAGCTCAAATTGAATAAAATTTTCCCTCTCAGGAAGCAATTCAATTCTTAACCTGGGCCTGCTCAAAAACAGGGTTTATCATTTTTCCAAAGCACTCTACTAAAACTATTCCTCTACGGCATCATTTGAAATTCTACAGGAATATTCTGTCGGCTTATCAGCTGAGTTTTCAGGAAGTTCAGTTTCACTGTTGGTGACTAACGGGTGAGGTTCAGGAGCTGGGTCGTCTTCAGAAGAAACTGCCTCCTGTTCCTCAGCCGTACCATTGGTCAGTGAAGCTCTCTGTACCCCTGCACAGTTCTTGGAGACACTGAGATTGGCTGGGGAGAAAGGCTGACCAACTGAGACACTGTTAGAACAAACACTGGCTTCATCTGGCATGACTCCAGGAACAGATGCTAGCTTCTGCAACAGAGCAGAGAAACATGAATCACCACAATTTGATCATTCTTTTTATTCCATTTGTTAAAATGTATTTCTTCACATGTATGCAACATATACTGTGCAGGAGTGAAGAATGCTTGTGGTAAGTGCTAAAACAATTGTACTAAATACTGTCCTCCACAGACACATTATAGTTAAATAAGTATAACCACAAACAGCATTGCCAATTATACTTACATTTTCAAGCTCATTTAGGCTCTTTTCACCATCTGTTTTTTGGTGAGTGAGTGAAAGTAAGTAATCCAAAACTGACTGCTTCGGATGCATCCCCTTATCAAACCGGTTATACATGGCACACCAAAACCTGAATAAACATAAAATCACCCTGACATTAGTTCCCTCTGAGACTGCTTTGTTTTCTATATTAAAGACAACTAACAAAAGATATTTGATTAGCAGAGTCTAAAGCATTATCTTCATATTTCCTGGTGAAACCAGAGGCAGTAAACTTATTAAAACTGACTTTATAACTTAATAAAATCTTCTTTTAAGATTTTAGGTCAGGCAAAATTTGATAATTACTATTACTGTTTAAAAGACAACTACTGTAGTTTCTAAAAGTAGAATTTTATAACCTCCACAAAAAAATCTGTAAAAAAGTTACAAACAGCATTTTGATGATTTCCAGAAAAGGAAAATAGTAAGAAAACAAGAGCACAGAACTTGGCCTCCATAAGGTACCCTGGATCACTACTCATTATTGGTTCTAGAGTGTTAATATTTCACAGTCTTACCCAATAAATTATAACGATGATGATAGCAGTCGTAATAATGTTGTTTTTGTCATTGATGTTTATGTCAAGCACTTGCAACTAGCATTCACAAGCAAAAATTAAAAATCTGAACTTACTTGAAGTTGAAAGGCAGTGTGTTTGGTCTGAGCACACCAAATGCTGAAGGGCCTTTATAAATTGGGTTAAGGTATTGTTCCGTTTTCTCCAAAAGAAAGGGCCACACAGAATAGGTTCTTTCCTGAAGCCTGTGCATTAACAGGATGTTAGCACACTAAAAATAATTTAATTGATTTCACACAAACTGTTTTGATTTTCAAATACATGAAGAGCTGCATATTTTCACACAGTCCAAAACCACTACTGATAACCAAACAAGTGCCAGATTTACTGGTTGTGGAAATCATTAATTTAGATGTGGTCTAGTTTAACAAGTTCCAAACTCTGGAGTTAGAATTCTGAAAAATGAAATGATGTAATTATTAGGTCACAAAAATTACTCGTATGTTTTCAAGGCATTTTTAAATTGATTATTAAAATTTTTTTACTGAACAGCAGCTGCCAAACTCTTTCTTTCTATCAAACTTCTAAAAGATTATGATTATGATTATGAACTGCATTAATAGATCACCTTCTTTTTAAAAAAATAAACTTGAGATGGCATTCCCAGTCAAAGAGTCAACTTGTATTTAGACAACAATAATACTTTATTTAACCAGATAAGTCAGGTGAGAACAAATGTATTTACATTGATGACCTGGCAAAGAGACTTACAAATTTGTAGCAAAGAACACGAAGCAGTAAAAGAAAAGAAGAAGCAATAATATATAACGATTATGTTGGATTTGGCACTGATAACAAATCCAAGATTTTAATGTAAATGTATTCTGAATTGTGTAACCTTCCCCCACAAAACATACACTCCGTGAGCTTTATGAAGTACTACAGGGATCTGTATTAGGACCAGCACCTTTTAATTTATATTTAAAAAATGATCTAAATGCAGGTATAATTGGTAAACCAGTGACATCTGATGCCAAATTAGCACTGGCGTTTGGAGGATTTTAGTCTTGGAAAAGAGAAGACTACAAGGGGACAAGATACAAGTATTCAAAACTCTTAAAGGCATTGACTAAAACACCCCACCATGTCATCATTGTTAAAAGTAAGCAATGAAACACAAACCAGAAGGCAAAAGTGGAAACTATGTGGAAGTGCATTTAAAACTTAGAACAGGAGCCACTTCTTTTCTCAATGGGCTAGTATGGAATAAGCCTACTCAGCCATGTTCTCCAAGACGATTTCCTGGCTTCTTTGAAGAAATGGCTGGATGAGACTGTTGGATCAATTAATGACTACTAAATAAGCTAGTGGGCCAATGACATTACAAGCAGATATTCTCTGCACTGAAAACTTTGGCACCGACTGACATTCTTCTGAAGGCCTGTCGCGAAAAAAGGTCAAATTCCAATCTATAAGAGAAGCCTGAAATGAAGTTTACATTTTAACTTACTTTAAAATGACCTGTTAAATACCATTATGAAACATTAACTCTAAATCCTAAACTCAGTACAGGCCTTAAAAAAAATACTCACTTCAGATCTTCTCTTTCTTTCTGGCAGTTGCCAATGAAGTTCCCGAACTGGCAGGAGTACACGTGATCATGGATTTCAATCAGGTATCTCTCGTTGAACTCAAAAGCACAGGGGAACTGCTCCATCAGTTGCCAGAGGCACTCTATAAATTGAGTAAAGACTGGAGACACTTCTTTGGGATCACCTTCTAAATGTGCACACCTGCAATTCAAAATACATAGCATTTTACTGCTCCATTTTCCCGTTTTACTCCTGATACAAGAAAAGGATGCAACATGTAAAACTGTTGTGCATAGTACAGCTTTATAACATGTTGACATCTGGACATTAGAAAATGTCTTATTCTCATTTTGCCCTGCTACTCTACTACAGCCTACTGCACGCTCAATGCAGGAGAGATGTCATTCAGCTTCACCTGAAAATGCTTTGCTAAAACCGCAACACAAAAAAAGTGAATGACAAAAATGGTGAACAAGGACAATGTTCATTTTCCTTGGTTCTAATTGTAAGACAATGTGCTTCTGGGTTATTATATGTGTTTTTTTCTGAGAGATGTGCTGTTTGTTCATAAGATCTCAGTGACAAGCCTTTGAATAATTCTTCTAAAAACTATGCAGAGGAAGCAGTATTACAAACAGGAAAGAGTAATTGCAAGATCCTCTAGTCATATTCTTCCCTTTTTACTGAGCTAAAACATTATAGGCACTTGCTTATTTTAAAATAAATTATTTAAAATAAATTTTAGTTGTAAGTATCAATATTGTTTCTAAACCCATCCACACACTTAAAAAACACGTTTCAGGTTACTTTTTGTCAGGTTACAATATTGTTAGAATATCCCATCTCATTACGTAGGTACTGCAAAAGTAAATACCTCTGTGAAAATTTATGGCCCATAGATATCCATTCCTTTTCTATTAAAACCTAAAAGTACAAAAACAAAAGTCTCTGAAGAGTTAAAAAAATCCATATTCAGGAAAAGTAACTACAACATATTGTTGTTATAGTTTCTCTGTAACAGTTTTTCTCATTTGATCTGCATACCGCTATACACATTACAAGATGAAATAAACAGGTATAAAACAGTAAAATTAAATAATATACCCAGTGAAAAGAAAGTGAGTACTCAATACATGCTTTTGTCTGATTAAATAAATTTATGCTGCACTGCAACTCATAAATGAGGAATCCAAAATGCAAGGCAGAACTAATACAATTCCTTTTTTTTTTTTTGTTGTCAAACATGAGCGAACGTATACACTGGCATGGTTGGCCTCAAAGAAAAACACTGCATGTATTTCATCAGGATTACTGTGCATCACACAAGATTGTGTAGAACAAAATCTTACTAACACCCTGCAACTACAATTCACCACATCCACCATCACTGTAAGAATAATTAAGCAAACTAGATTTTTAAAATGTAAAAAAAAATCTGTAGTTACTGTTGGAAGAACATCAGGGACAGCTCTTACCATTAGGCCCTTAATGGTCCTGTAGTAGGGATCCAGTAAAATGCCAGCCAGGGAGCACACCTGGGCTGTACGGTCCCACCCATCAGAGCAGTGCACCAGCACGCTCGCCTTTTCCTCTGTCATGGCCTGGCAAAGACAGAAGCAGAAACTTGTTAATACTTTCACATCCTAACAAACTACACTTACTAATAACAGTATAGAAGGAACAATTACATATAGTATATTTTTAAAACTGTCACATTTATCTCCAATATCTTAAAATTGGGGCAAAAGAGTTTTATAGGTTTTTAAGACAGACCTTTGGGAACTGAAATGTCTACACAAACTTCAAAATTCTTCTTGTCAAGAAAAATAAAAACATTGTGTTTTTGATACAAAATAACTAAATTCCCAACATTATGGTCCATGATTTTTAGGACTATTTTAGGACTAGTTTCTTTAAAACTACAATGTTTAAGTTTCTCTTCATAAATGGAAAAAAAAGAATCAAGCTGGATATTTGTGGCAGTACTCTTTAGTACTGTAAATTACATCATTGTCATAGTGTACAAATGTGTTATGTTTTAGAAAATGCATTTACAGAACTTTAAAAGTAATTTTTCTTTCCCCAAACATATTTAAAATATAATAGATATTCAACTAAAACTCCTTAAGCCAGTTCTATTTCATGAACACTGCGGACTTGGTGCTTACTCAGCTTTATATTTTTAGGTTCAAGGCTAAGCTCTACCTGACTGTGGCCAAGCAGATCTGTAGATAAAGACTCCTTCAACCTTGTAATTCTAACATAAAAAACAACTACTGTACCTAATTCTATTAAACCCATCTGCAATTCGAAGTCTTAATTGGATAGTCCAACAGTGCAGAAGCCTTTATGTCTGGACAATACCTTTGCCAAGAAAACTCCAGCATCCATTACAGCTTTAATATGACGTAGCCATCCAGAATTTTCCAGGCCTGTCAAGTAGTCACTCATTGTTGGAGTTTTCATTTCACATACTGTAAAGGAAATTTAGCATTTAGTGCAGAGCATTGATTGGCCTTTAAAGGTAATTTGAACCATAAGATACTGCATTTACAATTGTTTTCTTTTGTGTGTGGAGACATAAATTGTAGAGACACAACAAAAACCAATTGAAAGAAATTGGTAAATGGTCTGTCATTATGACTCACTGTTTACAGGCAAGAAGCTGAAAATCGTACCTTCTAGAAGCTTCTGAAGACTGTTCCTCATTACATGTATGTTCTCAATGCCAACAAACTGGAATCGAATGTTGGAGTAATTATCCTCATTTTCATATCCCTTTCCAGCTGCTCTATTAGCCATTGCATTTAACTATTGAGGAAAGAAATCACAGCAATTAGTTGGATCAACACTCAGTCATACACATAATGCCCGTGCAACAGCATACATTGTTTCCCATTTTACAGTTTTCGTCCTGATAAGTACCTTTGGCCTTGTGTCCACAACATACATGAAGGAGCATTTGGGATTAGCCTTGCTGATGGCCTGTAGCATCTGCTCATCTTCTACACAGCGGGCACTGAACCCTGATAGAGGCTGGCTACACCTGCAGATAGCAGCCTGCATGGGAAAGGGAAAAAATCTTAAGTGCTGGGTAGAAAATAATTACTGTAATATTAGTAGCCCATTTCCATCTTTACACAATATTTAATGTAATTTAGCAAAAATGTTTGTGCTTACACCAAAGAAAAACAGCTCTGTACAACATTCCAACTTATACTAACAGACACACAAACAACAACCGTACACTGTTGTCGTAAATGTAGGAGAGCACAGGAAACCTTCCTCTGCTCCTGAACTTTGAACTCCCCACAACTGTAAGCTTGCCTGCTGTTTTAGGAACAGCCAATTCCGTTGGATAGGTACTGCAAATCTGCAAAACAATGTAATTAAGATACAAAGTATTAAGACATGAAAACACTGCTGTCTTAATTTTTTTGTATAACACAATTAAAGAAAATTTGCTTGCTTCATAATCCCCCCCTTTTAAGATTGTGTCAATCCTAATGTAAAAGAAATAAAAAAAAGAATGTGAAAAATAAGTAAAATTGTTTTAAATTGTCTCTTTTAAAAATACTTCGTAAATCACTACTTGTGCCCCATCTCTGTTATAAATTATTGCTTGAAACTATAAAAAAGTTACCAAAAATAATAACGCAAGTAATAATTTCTGCAATCCTCTTTTTTGCCTTATTTATATTTAATACAGACATCAGTGCTGTGTACAGTATAATGCACAGTTCTCTGCAGTATACAGCAGAGAAATGGATATGGCACTTTCATGGTGACAGGAAAACTTCCTTTCTGAGCAACTGCAAATTGATACAACTGTCATTAACAGGAACGTAAAATGAAAAGCATAAAAACAGGAACTGTAAAAACGTACTTTTTACATGCAAAACAGATCAGAAATAATAGATTTTAAACAACTCAAAGGTTAAAAAGATTAAATAACTTTATGTCTATTATCTCTAAGAATATTAGATTTAAAGACCCTACATGACACATTATATAAATCCTCCATTACCCCATAGTTCTTGTTGAGGTCAGTTATCTCCCAATATTCATTGGGTACTCCCATTCTCTTGAACTCTGCTTTTAAGTCAACAGTGGCCCAGCCAATTTCTCTGTCCTTTTCATTCTGCTTTGGGTTATACAAGAAAGCATAGAGCTCTTCTGGCTTTGCTGTAAAAAAAATCAAAAGTTTAACAAGGGACATCCCCAGAACACAATCCCCCCCCCCCCCCCATTCTGACACTGTGATGGATATAGTTCCATACCTGCAGGGTAAACTAGACTGTTACTCTACTCTGTTTCACCATGTCCAGAACAGTAAAAATAACTCTAAAAAATAGTTCCAACACAAATTTAGAACCTGGGATTCATTTGACCCCTTTCCCACAGAGGACTGCAAAGGCTCTTTTAAAGAGGTTCAAACATATTTAAATTCCTACCCTTACACTTCTTCCATTTAGCATTTTATCTCTGACAAAACATTTGCAAACTAATATTTCCTTGCTGTAATACAGAGATATTAAAATTAGGAGAACTAAGTGTACACAGGTTCATTACTGAATTCTGTTTCCATAGTTGCCATAAGGATACTTATATGGACAAGTAATATATTCTACTCTAAAGAAAATTATGTACAGCTTTGAAAATATATCATAATTAACTACCAACTTGTATAGAAAGCATAAGTATAAAAACAATTTTTTTAAAAGTGTCCAACAGACTTCTCACAGTTCAGTTTCACAGTTTAAAATGCTACAGTGGTTTAAAGAGGATTTATAGTCAAGTATAGCTTAATAATCGTACCTTAAAACCTAATTTATTTAGCATTCTATTGCTGACACAACACTCGCAAACTAATATTTTCTTACTGTTATACAACCACATCAGGCGCCAAATAAATTATAACTAAGGAGAATTTAGCATGTAAAAATCCATTGCTTAATACTGGTCCACTAGCCTTTATAAGAGTTATTATATTAGAGACGTAATAATATGGTATTCTAAAGGAAATAATATACAGCTTTGAAAAGATATTATATTCCATTTCACAGTTTAAAAAGCTACAGATGTCTTACGGTCTGTGATACATTATGAGTACTCTAAATATCGAAGACAAGCACAGAATAGTTTATTATATTGATAAGTTACTATAATCAAGATAATGTATCTGTCTTTTCCACAATTTACTTTCTTAGAGTAAAAAAAAATTGTTCTGTTTTCCATTGTATTAATTTAAACTCTATAAGCAATAACAATGTGCACTCTTCACTCGGATCAGCAGCCAGACTTGAACACTGATTTGCATACTGACATTTATTGGTTACTGTAACAGGTGCTGGTAATTTTCCATCTATTTTAACTTGCAGGTGCAACACAGTCATATGAGGTAAAAAGTGCCATCACAGTATTTCAATTGGACTATTATGGACATACTATGTTTATAAATAACCTCCATTGTATAATCTTAACAGCAAACCAACACTTTCGTAGGAAAGCTCAGGTGAATATCACAATACCTGGTTGTGACAGTCGTATTAGAGACATTGACACCTCCTGGCAGTCTCGTTCCCGGGGAAAGACAAAGTGCAGAACACAGAAATTTTTACAGTGAATGAGAAGTGGGCATCCTGTTGTAGTTAGGGGAAGCTTCTCCACGGTGGCTATATGGTGATGTAATATCTGTTTTGACAAAAACAGAGATTGCAAAATGCTTAGGATCAAATTCTTGTAGTATTCATAGTATTTCTAGCATGTTCAAGTGCCAACTTTCTAGACATAATTTATCTATTATAAATATATTCCTATATATTCCTTTCCAAGTAGCTTGCACATGGCATTATGACAGGGGTTGCTGGTGCATAATGGAGTTCGTTAGAGATCTCTGGAGTAATTGTAAACATTAATAATATTGCTATTATTATTCTTTCACATACCATTGTAACAAATTCTATTTTATCATCTAACCTTTTTGAAAAGAGTTTAAATGAAATAAACTCAGGTACCAGACCAGAAATAATTGTTTTGGGGATTTGACTTCCTGTAACAGCAGACAACCAGAGAACTGCTGTTCACCAAAAACAGTTACTTTTTATAGAATTTATAAAAGGTCAAGTCTCTTATCAGATGAGTAGTTCATTTACAGGAAAAGCTCATGTATAAAGGGAACAACATGACAGAACCCCTGCAGCTGCTAATGTAAAACGTCAAGATGAGAACAAAAAACCTACCCATGTTTCTTTACGGACATCTGAAGAGGTCTCTACATAGATGAGGTGGGTTGCAGTCAGGTACAGTGTCCCAGTGGCTGGTTTCTTATTTGTGTATCTGTCTAGTAGCTTTACATATTCCACCTGTAACATCAGAGGAAAGCACATCCAACTTGATCACATAGACAACCATATTTTAAATAATAATAGCAACATAATATCTTTCATTCTGGAGGTTTAGGATGAAGTTTTGGTTTTCACAGATCACTACATAGAGCTTATTCGTTCTTGTCATGTTGAGATCACAGAGTTTTATTTTTTTAATGTTCCAGAAAGCCATCATGACTGGGGATTGCAAAGCACGGTGATTTTACAGTCCCGAGTTTAGAACTGAATTTCCCTTGAAATAACTGTTCTGGATTTTAAAACCAGGAAAATATGGTGTGGATGACAGTTATTCAAGCAAAAATACATCCAAAGTCAGATAAATGTCCTCTTTAAAAGATGTACATGTAATAGATTTGTGAAAAAACATGCTTGCAAATAACTTAATCTTGCAGAAATCAGAAGTCACATTTAACAAAACCCCACTCCCCCCACTTCTCTTAGTCTTTAAATACCACACAGGCAGGTTTTGTACTCCCAGCCACATTTGCTCTCATCAACTGAGTCTCGCGTTTGGTAATTATTAACAATGGATACCAAAATGGTTTGAATGTGTCTGAGTTACACTGAATAGTGAGGTGATCAGGAAATCCTGAGCCCGAATTCCTGCACATCTGCTGACTGCAATAATTTGTGGATCTTCATATCCTCTGTAGCTGAAGTGCTACACATCATTACAGTTAAGCTGTTTCCTGTTGAGGAGTTTAGCTGAAAAAAAAAAACTACAGTCAGGAAGTAAGTTTCCTGTACAAAAGGAGCAGCCATTAATGTACTCTCTCACACTCTTGGTTTGATACAGTGCAACTTTTTTAAATTTTCCATGCACTGTCCGAACGAGAAATACTGTAGTAAATGATATGACAAGCAGCAACACAGCGGCACAGCAGTTAGCATTGCTGCCTCGCAGCTTTGAGGCCCTGGGTTCAATTGCAGAGCTGGGGTGCTGTCTGTGTGGAGCTTGTATGTTCTCCTCAGGTTTGCATTGGTTTTCTCTGGGAGCTCCAGTTTCTTCCCATGGTCCAAAGAGATACTCATGGGCTAACTGGCATATGGGAAAATTGGCCCTGCTGTGAGTGTGTGCGTTTCTCTTTGCCCTGTGATAGACTGGCATGATCCCATCTAGGGTGTATCCTACTTTGAGCCCAATGCCCGCTGGGATAGGCTCCGACTCACCTGCTACTCTGAATTGGATAAAGCTAAAAAAATGGAACACTGGACAATATCAGCAGTTTGCCAAACATGAGGAGGAACATCAATTAAACAATACACACCTAAACAATGCAACGATTACTGCTATGATCTCACCTTTCATAGCAGAGATTTAATTCTGCATTTTGGGGGCCCAGCCCTTTTCTGTCAATGGCCTCTCCTTTAAAAGGTACTGTAGTCTTTTAATATATAATACAGAGTGTTGTCTATATTACCTCAAGCACTTTGGAAGTGGCACATTTAATGGAATTTAGTATTTTTTACAATGAATTCTACTTTATTTTTACTTTAAAGAAGTATCTTAAATCAGATTCAAGACACAGAAAACAAAAAATATTTTTATCTATTACCGGTATTTTTTCTTCAATTTACATGGACAGGTTTCTCAAATATTTTATTTGTAAATGATTTACCTAATATTTAAATGACGTTTGCTACCCTTTTCACTTATGTTAAAAAAAATATAACCCCAGGCTTGATTTTGCATGTTTGTAATACAGTCCTGACAATGGTTAGTGTCACACCAGATAAAGCAGTAAATATCATGAAGAAAGTAAATAACATTAAGAGGTTAGCTTCTGGGGGAGAAACTATGAATTTCCTATACAAGTTTCATCAAAACCTTTTAATGACAGCTGTACTATGGCTGCAATAAGTGAAGCATGTCAGAAATTAGATATTGCACATCACAGCAGCATGCAACACTATAAAACAATACAGAAACAAACGAAAACTTAAGAGAAATGTCCCCCTGTGAAGATTTCAAACCCAAAATATCTCATTCCTCTATTCAAGTTTAAAATGTAACTTGGGAGTTATTTTCAGAGATAAATTCCATTACATTTCTGTATGCTTTTCATAAAAGGAAGATATCTTGACGTCACTTTTTGCTCGATATACCATTTATTTACTTAGACGCCAATTTTGGTCCAGTGTGCAATTCTGTTAACAAAACCCGTCCGATTCTTAATCAGAATTTGAGGTGATAAAAACACGTTTTCCCTTAATTGAATGCATACCATAATTTATCGTATGTATCTTTACAAATTTTGGCAAACACGTATTTAGTCTGATATTAGATCTGAGCACCTGAAAAACAAACTCAGCGACCGAATGTGGCTGGCGTTAAATACGAGCATTCCCCAACTGAATGAGTATGCAGAAAGGGCAAAAAAGAAACTTAAGTCTGACGAAGTGCATCTTGTAATGTTCATAAAACGCTAATTATTAAAATAGTGCAAATCGCCTATAGTTTCATACCTATGAGCGGATATTGTTAGCCGTGGGGTTAGAAGCTTTGATTGTTAGCCTTAGGGTACGTTTAAAGTCTTAATGGAAATCTACATACGTACTATACTGTAACATTTCCACTTGTCAGAAACACTCATGCACAGAAAACCCTTTACCTTTGGTGTCGTAATGTGTTCCATGATAACGCAGTGATATTTTCCCAGATCGCTAAACCGGGGAGGGCTGAGGGCTCTTATTTATTCTTTTTGCTGTGTGGAATTTAATTTCTCAATAGATATTTCCCCAGGAACTCATTCTTCATCACTTCGCTATATTACGTGTGTACAACCCCAGTCAGCTGATCAGAGTCCTCAGTAACGCGAGAGTTTACTGCTACACATAGAGATTTGAGGATTGTGGGAGAAAGTTTAAAGCTCGGAAAAAACATACTGTACCACGTGAAATACCGGTCTAAACAGTAAAGGTTTTTGTTTTTTTCCTGCTTCATTTATTGTTGATATCCCACTTTATTTAGTCAGTTAAATTACGTTTAAAGAAGAAAACTACCACAAAAAAAGAACAATACTCAGGAGGATTACGGTGTTTCTTGTGCGTCTGAATGACCAGTTAGGCGCAGTTGCAGCTGTGTTCACTAGATGTCTCTCTCTAACCAATTCAATGCAATTGGCTAGCAGTGACATGAAACTAAGCAGGAAAATGAAATATATGCAAATATTGCTAATCAATCCATGTGGAATGTTATCTTCGTATATATCAAGAAAATAATATAATGATTTATTTTTCAGATAGAATTTCGGTTTTAGTTTTCTTATGATTGCGTTGGTCTAAGAGTTGCTTTGCTTTTTTAAAACAGAAAGGACACATAAAAATATAGATTTACTGTATTTTTTTAATTGTACAATGATCTTTTAGTTGCGATTTTCTTTTATAGTCTATAATACAGCTTTTTTAAGTATGTTAATTCGTATTTCTAGTCCTGTTAACCTAAATCGTCTTGTCATGTCTATTGCCAGCATGCAATAGCCAGCAGCCATATCACCCTGCAACTCTGCAACCCTTACCAATCATGGCCTCCTAATAATCCCCCTCTATGAACTGGATACATTACTCTGCTCTCCTTCCCACTGATAGCTGATGTGTGGTGAACGTTCTGGTGCACTATGGCTGCTGTTGCATCATCCAGGTGGATGCTGCACATTGGTGGAGGGCAGTCCCCATTACCTGTAAAGCGCTTTGAGTGGAGTGTCCAGAAAAGTGCTGTATAAGTGTAAGCAATTATTATTATTGAATTGGTATTGTCATGCACCAGACCCGTGCTATATTAAGTGATACCTAGTTCAAGAACAGTAGGAGTTCAATCCTAAAACTTGTCTTTGACCCCACTTTAGACCCTGATCAAAATGCAATATATGCTGTCAGGAATTAGTCCTATATTAGTAAATGAAATAGAAGGAAAAAAAAACAGCGAAAACTAAGATTACATTAACTCCCTATTTTATTGGTTGAAATGAATGGGTAATAAAATCCAGAATTAGGAATATACAAGGTCAATAAATGATACCATTTGATGTACTCTTCAGGGAATTTATGGGGTAACATTTCCATTTTGGGAACTGTGTGAAAACTATGTATCTTAATCCTTTATGATTTATCCTAAACATTTCTGATAATTTGTTTACTTTTTTCCACACCATATACTTTGCAAATGAAAGATTCCGAGGGTTGCTCAAACCAGCTAAATTTAATTTAGATAACTATTAATTACAGCATATCTTAATTATGGATTTAATTTTCTGAAGGTCTGTTATAATTTTCTAGATATATTCTAAGTGGAAAAATGGCAAATAACCATAATTATTTTTACATCCAGTGATTTCTCATCTTCTATTTAATTGCGGGGTATGACAAGAAGTGAATTCTTTTTGTGAAATGGCACTGATGAAAATCCATTGTCTAGACAGTCAAGAAAAACATAAACCATGTAATTAGTGTAAAGCATATGTGTGAATGTTAAAGTACGTAGATACCAAAATCAGTAAATTGTTTAACTTGTTTAAAACATGAACCAGGCATTTGACAACTGAATTTAAATACTATAATCTAAATCTAAAGGTGTGACAATGGAAGGGGTTAATCGTACGAAAAATCAATTTCAGTTTTGTAGCCCACACACGAACATCTCAGACATTATTAAAAGTGTTAAAATCTTCATCAACAACAAGTACTTTGGTTTAAAATCTGCAATAGTTTTATCAGTCTGGGTAAAGGCAATTAAAAAGCCTAACTTACACGGCAATTAAAATTAGTAAAATCAAATCAATGCATTATTATGAAATAAACATTTTAAAAGGAAATTGAAATTATATTATTATGATTATAAAAGTTCCCGAGTCCTTGTCGTGCAGAAGTGTGCAAACCTTTATTGCAATGATAAAATTAATATGTTCTGATATTACTGCTCAGATTTTATTCTAAAAGGCAAGAATAATTTACTGCAAAGAAAAATATGGATAGAAAGTTACAACACCATGAAGAAGTTTCTTCTCACTACACACTAAGATTTTAACCTTTAATCAACCTAAATTGCTTCAATTTTAGCACTGGTAAAATCTAGAATAAGGATATATAATTGTTTTATTTTTTTATCTAAACAGATTACTGTATCACATATTGCAGAAATAAGCATATACAATACAAAATATAATGCCACTATACAACAATGGTTCACCAACTAAGATTTATATACAGCACAATATATAGACAACACAGTCCAATAATTTGGCTATAGGTTTTGCAAGTTCGAAATAAGTTATAAAAGTAGTATTAAATTCAAATAATTGAAAGCAAGTTTCTTCGTTCAAAATCCAAAGAAGACTTTAATCTATAGTCTAGGAGGACTCTATGCTGCCCATGCAAATGACCCATTAGTATCCATTGCATGAACATAAGGTAACAAAACAATCTTTTTTTTTAAATAACAATTCAATTGTACAATTATTTTTATTTTTTTGATACAATGTTATTTATATATGTTTTTCAAGAATAAGGACCAGTGTTTATGATGTATGTGATGTTTACCTAGTTGGTATTAAAAATAATGTTTTCTGAATTTATTAAAAGTAATGTGTAAATACTTGGTACCTTGTGCAAGGGCACTAAGAAATTCTGGATATCACTTATGTTGAAAATGGTCACTGCATATTCACCTGGAATTCATTTTCTCCTTACTTCATTGCCTTAACATCCACACAGCTGGGGGTTCTTTCACACTTCCCCAGAGCCATTTCTCAGAGATTAGCACAATCCTCTTTATTTGGTTTATTCCAGGCCACTCTGGGTGTGAGGAGATAGAAGCCTGGGTTCCTCCCTACTTCCCCTCCCACTGTTACCTCTGACAGAGACAACCCCCGCAGTAGGGTCAACATCTTCGTTGCATCACAATTGCATTTTAAATGTCCAAATCTCTTGTTTTTTACTAAAACAAAGCACATTCACAACACCCAATTGCCATACTTAAAATTCCATAGACGAAAGAGTGTAGCCAATTTAGCCCAAACAATAAACAGGGTCTTTTTTTAAAGTTGAAGTTTAAAGAAAAAATGCAAAACAGCATGCATTGTTATTGCATAGTGCTATGACATTCAAGAAAGCAAATTTAAAAATCAACAAACAGTATATAAAAATCTGGAACTATTTGTTTGGGTCTTGTCGTTTTGCAACATCCTGCAAGACAATATTTGTTCATCTAAACACTCATGCAATTTGCATCTTTCAGTATAGGTTAAGTCTCAAGAATTATTTTGAGGTAGAAGAAAAGAAAATCTCACTTTTTGTGACTTTTTCATTTTTTATTTAGTATGAGCACTGAAAACAGTGAAAAACTTGCATTTTACAAAAATGTTTCTAAAGTTAGAAAACGCTCCTTTTCCAGAAGTAATAATTACAAAAGCCCCCTGTGATGTTTGTTTTTATATAAAACAACATTAAGTGATCTGTACTGAGAAAATCTTTACCACATGCTACTTTTTTTTAAGATACATCATGCAGGGTAGAATCAAGAGATTCTTGAATATATCAAAAGCAGCTTCATGCAACACATTTCTAAATAATCATTTTGGAAATTAGATATTTTATGAGGTATAACTTTGCTTTTTCTTGAAATACATAAAAACAACAAAGACCCCTAACTGAAGGCAACTGTAATGTAATTTGATTGCATTAACAGTGATAACCTCAGTGAACACCTTTTAATATATGGTAAACATTAGGAAGGCAGGATTCCATGTATACACAAAATATTTATAAACTAAATCTTAGACATCTTAGTTTTTCCAAAGAGTCCCCTTACTTATTAACCAGTAGTTTCACTAAAATGTGAATACTCCTATACTGGCACTGGTCAATGTGCCATTTAAACCTTCTTTAAAACATCCCTGCTTAGCAATGCAATTCTATAACCATGATTAGAGAACAAGTCATATTGGAACGCCGGAGTATAACTGTTCAGTGTGCATTGGGGCCTGCTGGAATGAATGTGCCTGCTGATGGCCATATACAGTTCGATTTTCCATGTAAGATGGGTTCATCAGCATGGGATGTTCCGGTGGCATCCCATAACTTAGGTACGGGGGTTGGAGAAACTGACTAGAGGTCTGTGTAGGAGGCATATACTGCTGAGACTGAGAGCCTATTCCTGGGAATCCATTTGCTGTGGACATATACATGTTCATGGTAGCCTCTGTGCCCACAGTGCAGATATTCGGAGCACGTCCTCCTGTGGAACACCTACTAGTAGAGCTTGAGCTGGCATTGGAGTAGCGAGAAGGGGTCCTGGTATCAGAAGAAGGCCCAGACTCAAGCAAACGGCTCTGGATTGGCAATGGGCCATTCTGACGGTCTTCAGCCTTGGGCCTAAGGCACTGGCAGCAACAGATAGCGATGAAAGAGCCAATGATGACAAAGGAGACAAAAACACTTGCAACAATGAGGAAGGGGAGGTATGTTGGCACTGGAAAACAAGATGGGCAAAAGTCAATACAATATTTATGTTTGTACAGACAGAACCATACTGTCAGTAATAGCAGTGTTTGCAATGTTCTAGACATTCTTTATCTTGGCTAAGTCAATGTAATTCAATACCTTTACAGCAACCACAAAGCATTGCTTTAAATTGACTGCCCAGAACCGTATAAGGTGTCTTCAGAGACAAAAGAAAAAGTTCTTCTAAATTCTATCAAAATAGTTTAAACATAATGTCAGAGATACATGTAAACCGACAACCAATAATCACAAAGTAAATGAACTTACACTGCGGTGGGTTTTTACTGGCAGGATCATCCGATTCAAACTCGAAGAAGTTGTCGTTCTCACATGCGCCCTGATCCAGTCTTGCTTCCACTGCAGTGCAACAGTAACGCAAGATGCACGTTCCACAACAAAACCTGGCTTCCTCGCCGTCGAACCGTTCTGGACACTGGAAACCTTTGTGCCAAACGTTGTAGACGTCCACCCACCCGTGACAATACTCTCCGGTAGCTTCTACTCCGTATGGCTCCAGTCCTATAGTCAGGAACACTAAGGCACATACTAGGTGCGAGGCTGACATTTCTGCGTTCATACAGAACAAAAAAACGCCTTCAGAACTTTTAAATTTGACTTGGTTCAAAATGCAAGAATACAGTTAAAGCTAAAAACAAAAAAGAAGCATTTAAGCAATGATAAAGTAAATGGCTAAAACAAGATTCAAATAAGCGGGAAAAGAGTCGACTACCCAGGACACCATAGACTTACAGAGATATAACACCACTGGGGTCTCCTGCAACAGGTTTTATCACCGCTCCAGCCCACCGTAGCATTCTCCTCTCAATGGTGGGAGGAGCCCAGGAGCACAAATGCTTTTCAGCCCAATTAAATACAATCGTTAGGCATTCTTTGCTCAGATAATCTCCCGAATGAAGCACAGTGACCAAACTTGTGCGTGTCTCCACGTAACCAGTAGTCTTTTTGCTGTAAAGTAACATAAATTTACTGGAAGGTATATAAATAGAAAGGATGTAATTTACTATTGTAAGCAGTCTAAAATGACAAACGTTCCTTATAAAATCGTAAATTATCAGTAATGCAACTGATAAAGCTGCATTTTTAAAGATGGTTGTAATCTCTTTAAAGGTGCGATTGCTCAAGAGCGTATTAATATATATATATATTAATTTACACATTAGATGCTGAATTTATTTTTCATCAGATTTCCTAACTTTTGAAACAGATTTCTTCCGGGATTTTGGTCTTATAGTAAATTACATTTTTAACTACTTTTGAGCCCAAAAATTTAATATAAATCAATAAGACAAACTTAACCATTGCAATATCTGGTTCATAATTATAATGGTCAATGATAGGTTTTAATAAATGTTACCACGACTAAAGGTTAAGATAATAACTATGCTTAGATTTGAAGAATGTTTCCTTTTCTCTTTCAAGAGAGGTCTTGCTTTTAGTTACACATTTACAGATAACCAAATAAGAAAATAATTAGGTTTTATGATGCAATCATTTAACGTGCACAGAGTAACTATTTTGTCTCCCTGTTTTGTCACTTCGCATCTGAGTGATTGATAGGTTGATTAATTTAACAAGCTTCTGTCTGATAAGGGTTTAAAAGGTTAAAACGTGTGACGCTGTAAATGGTGTAGAACCGTAAATTTGCTTTAACTGTAGGGCACAAATATCAGTTGTATTATGTTTTCCTAATTAACAAATGAATAAGCGTAGTGCTTGCTCTCCTGTCTCTTAAAGCTGAACTGCGTGCTAGCAAATCACTTTTTTTATCTATTCCCTTCCTTATATTCAAAGGTTGTAGTACTGCAAACATAGTTTTTAATCCTCGAGTCAATAGAAAAGCTACATCTAAATAACCTAGTTCAGAGTTATACTCGTTTTTTTAAACAAATTTAACAAGAACTGCAAAAAATATTGTACATCTTGAATGATTTGGCTAGTTTGTTTTTGTCACAGCCATAAGTAAATGCATTTTTCTTCAAGTCAATATGTATTTCATTAGATGAGTCTGAAATCCCAAACTGGTTTTATTTTCATTTTGGTCATTCTTGTAGAAATCTAATCTAGAGCTTCCATTATGGTTTAAGGTGCCAATCTAAAGAAGAATGAAGATGGACAGTGTTTGAGGGATTAAGAAAAAAAAGTAATTTGATATGGTAGGTTTCACTGTCTGCCTCTGAGTGTCTAGTGGGACTGCAGGCTCGAGCTGTGCTTCTAGACAAGACAGCCCCTCTGAGATGCAAACAGGTGCTTTATTTCCTTTTCAGTCTCCAGCTGCCTAACCCAAAATGTCAGGTTAACCAACTGTACAAACAAAACGGTTCAGAATGGCTTGGACTCAGCAGGGGAGATGAGCAAATCTGGGGCCTGTCTTGTTTATTTTATGGTGTCATTTTCAATGTGGAAAAGTGAAATGGCACTGGCACATCTGTTAAAACTATATATTTCTGTAGACCAATTTTCAAAAGGAAATAGAAGATATTTAGCAAGCCTGTAACATTTATCAATATCAATTGCATACTATAACCAAACTAATGCATTTGAGAATAAAACTCACATTGTACCTCACAACCGCCCATCTGATTTATCTACCATAAATTCATTTGGTTGTCTGCTATTTTAGGTAAATCATCTTAGTACTTCCATGTAACTTCTTCTATCTTCAATGTTCTTTTTGAACATTGTGATAATTAAATAAGTTATTCTATGGATCATTTTAAGTAGGGTCTGCAATAAACTGAGTGGTGTAGGTGGACCAAAAGTTTCTAGTCTTTCCTCTGGTCATAATTGTCAATTCATCGTCCTCATTTGGCGACACTACTGTAGGAGGTATTTACTTAAATGTTAATGTTTTAAACAGGATAAAGACTACATGATCATTGAAGGACCTTTTGAATTGTTTTTCTTATGCCCACTGCACTGGCTGTATTCTGCTCTGGGTATGTCTAAAGTGCTTAACTTTATATCTAAAATTCCCCTTAATTAAATTGGGGAAGCAGTTTCTTACATCTCATATCTGCTGTAATGTTGGTGCCTTATTTGTCTAAAATTAATTGCATCAGTTTAATCACCCTTTTTCATCGATGGTCACTATCTTAGCTATTCTTCAGTCCATGGGTACTATTCCTGACTTCAGTGACTGTTGGAAGAGATAAGATCACTCTATTTGCCATATACAATTTATTGTATTAGGAATTTGTCTTTTCGCAGACCCCAACTTGCTCTCCATGAGACACACAGACAGGAAGAGAAGCTTGGGGTCAGAGCACAGGGTCAGCCATTTATACAGTACAGCGCCCCTGGAGCAGTTGGTGTTAAGGGTCTTCCTCAGGGGCCCAACGTAGTAGGATTCCTCTGCTGGCCGCAGGATACAAACAGGCAACCTTCCAGCCACAGGTGCAGATCCTTAGCCACAGAGCCAGAGTTGCATCAATGTCTACTAAATAACATCGCTCGTTTGACTACAATTGATAACATAACATCGGACCCAAAGAATTGTTTACCTTGAGTCCTTCTTCTGGTAAAGTACTACTGCTTCTTCTAGGGTAACACTATTTAATAAAGAATTTCCTTCTGTTGCATTGAGACACAATGTCTACTTTTTCCTAAGTGAGTACCTGACTGAAATACTTGTTTATCACATCTGCCATTTCCATTTCATTATCTAGAAATTTACAATTGTCAAATCAGATACATTTTATTTAATTCCTAAGGCTCCTTTTGCCCCTTTAGTACTGAAAATACCTTTTCCTATTTGTAGATGCTCCAACAGACTAGGTAAGACAACAATCATTAACCATTCAAATAGCTAGCTATGTCAGCATGCATAGGTTACAAAGGAACAAGTAAAGGTTTATTCCATGCTGTAAAGAGCCTTATTTGGGTGTCATGGTAATTTCTGTTACTGATATTCCTATAGGTACGTCCCAGACTATGTTGCAAAAGATAAAGTTTTCCATAAAACCTATCTTCTTTTGCACATAAATTCTTAAGCTCATTTTACAGTATTGAATTTTAGTCCACATCAGCATTTGGTGGTTTGGAATGTTTTTTGACAAGTCTGACCTTTATAGATTCAGGGTTTCCTGAAAAATTCCTGTAGCATTTGTTCCTTGGCCTCATTACTCTTTTTGATACAGTATATAGTGCTACACTTCCTTCTATGTCTTGGATACCCTATATACAACCTAGAATTTAACTAAAAACTAATTGGCCCAATTAGGTTACAAGAAGGACACACCTAAGCCTGTAATTTGATGTACTTAGAATTCTGCATCTATTCTGCCAACACAGAATTTGTCTCCTAAAGTAGGTTCATTAACATAGAAATGTATTAAAGCAATTAGCAGATTAACAGAATTTAAAGGTATGTGCTTGTAGGCTTATAACCAGTGCCTCTAAATGCAATAATCAGAGCTAGTTAGCAGAGTAAAATTACCATTATACCTCCCATTGTTTAGAGTTGACTGTCATTGTTTGCTGAATGCTAATCTTTTGGTAGTTGAGAGAAAGGAACTATTTACACAAGTATACCTTTTACTAATCTCTGCTAATTACACAAAGTTTCAACTATTTTTATTTTATGTCAGTTAAGGAATTATCATTTAGACAGTTTATAGTACCCTTTAAATCTAGAAAATAATTTATGTACTGATGAAAATAACGTAATTAATAATAATAATCTGATAACAGAGAAAATCTAATTGATAGAGTCTGAATAGTCTGAAACAAAAACAAAAGTTTTTTTAGAATAGTAAATAGCAGCGTTCAGAGTTATAACCTGAAGAAGGCTCCACGGCTGAAAAGTTGTGTTTTCTCTCTTCTTTTTTTCAGCATGGAATAAACCCATTACTTGTTCCTTTGCAGCCTACGCATGCTGATGCAGCTACCCACTTAAACTATAATAATAACCATGTTGACTTTGTAGACTTTTTTTCAGGGGAAAAATGAATAAATCAGATATTACAATCTGTGCCTTTTTACTCATTTTCAGTTGTTGTCCACACTGTAATAAACACACTACTTCAAGTATAGCAAACATGTTACAGTTTTGCAGTTACCAGAAGAATACCCATATTCTGCTCTTGGCATCATAATGCACATTTGCCCAAGTAGATAATTACTACAAAATTAAAAGGTTATAACTCTGAACGCTGCCATTAACTATTCTAAAAAAACTTTTGTTTTTGTTTCAGACTATTCAGACTCTATCAATTAGATTTTCTCTGTTATCAGATTGTAAACTAAGAAGCCACAGTTCCTTTCTTATGATAATCGGCCTATCCGTGGGGAACCTCCCAAGCAATTAAGAAAATCAGGCTAGACCACTTTCCAGCCCCTACCCCCTATAACACCTGCAACAAAGAAAGAGAGAGATTAAGAGCAAATTCATCTTTGTTTTCCAAAGAGCTGTCCTCTAACGACGGTGTTGACAAGATGGGAGGCTGTTGCAGAAATCCAGCATTTTGAGGCTGTTATAAATCATTTTAAATGCTTTTCTAAAATATAGACAAGGAGTCTAGGATTAGGACCAGTGGAGTTAGAGTGTTTAGTAGATCCTATAACTGTGTGGCACATATGGCACTCCAAGAAAACATAACACACCACTCTCTGGATACATTACTGCACAAATGAATATTTCCATGGCTCATTTATATGTGAGGTAATTTGTATTGACTTCAAAAACAATCTTACTGTAATCAAGAGGAAGGACAAAGAAAAGGCTGTTGGGATGAAATGTTCTTACACAACAATACTGAAGAAAAAAAATAAAAATCTTAAAATGTAATTTCTGATTTAAAGAAATTCCTGGGGAGTACCCAGAGTTTTATAGGAAGAAAGTTTCTACGGCTTGTTAATTTAAACATTAAACTAATAACGTAAATACAATATGTTGTCTTTTTTTTTATTTCCAAGGGGGATCAAAGTCAGTCTCTTGCTTGCTTAAAAAATTAAGCTCATCAGTGTGTCCCTCTTGATGTCTTTCTCCTTCAACATAAGTAAAGGTTGAAATGTAACATTAGTTAATTAATTAGGTACTCAGCTTAGTTAGCTACACGCAGTGAATCAACCTAGATGGTTCTAGATGTTTTCTTGTTTGTAATCTTCCTCATTTTAATATGTTCTAATAGTTAAAAAAACTCTTGAGTATTCTGGCACTTTGAAACATGATTGTAATAAATGTTATTGTTTAATTTTTATTATTCACCATGACACAAAACAACAGCAAGAATCTCTAATTATTATTTGAAGATATCAAGTATAGTAGATAAACTATAGCTACAAATGTAGTTATATTTACAGTACACTGGATAGTGTTGTAACTTTGGCTTTGTGAAATGTTCTTTTTCACGTGCTGTGTAAGTATTTGGCTGTCAAGAACAAGTCCTGACAGGTCTTCTTCAGAACACTACTGCACAACATGTGCAAGAAGACCAGCAAATTGTTCTAGGGGCTCTGTCTTTCAAATAAAAATAATCAAGCTTCAAAACAATACTGTTTTTTTATATCTTAATTATTATTAAAGTGTTGTCTCTATCCGCCTTCCTTTTAGAGTTGTTTGACAACATAACTTCTCACTGAATTGATTACCTAATTGGTAATAACTGCTAAGAAATGACCAGAGAGTAGGTACGAATTGTTCTTCAAGAACTTGTGAGCTATGAAAACTGGACTGCAGAGAATTTACAGGTAGTCAGTCTCGATTGATTACAGTATGTTGATTTTACACATTCATTGAGTGAGAGCAGCGCATTTTGATGTCTTTGAATTTCATTTCTTAAGAAAATATAATTTATTATCACTATTAATTAATTATCACTATTGAGCTTAGATGGATGAGTAAAAAAAATTGACAATAGTTTTGTGGTCTGGACATTTTTTTTAAATCTTCTCCATTAAGATGATGAAGATAATGAACTGTTTCTAACTGCTTCATTACAGTAGGGATAACCGGTCTCACAGAGAATTTGTTTGTCCATTTTTCTGTCTTCCATTCAAACAGGCAATATTCTGTTATCCATCCAGCTGTTTTCATTTTATTCTGTAATCAGGCCTTCTTTAGAATGTAAAAAAAGTAGTTACATTTTTTAAAGAATATGTTTGTGGTTAGCCAGCAGCCATATCACCCTGCAGCTCTCAACTGGCTACCCACTGAAGCTAAGCAGGATGGAGCCCAGTCAGTACCTGGATGGGAGACCTCCTGGGAAGCTATGGTTGCTGCTGGAAGTGGTGTTAGTGAGAGCAGTGGAGGTCTGTGTGGGTCCTAATGCTCTGGTATAGTAGCGGGGACACTGTACTATAGTCGTCACCATCTTTCGGTTGAGACGTTAGACTGAGGTCCTGACTCTCCCAGGTATTTCCCAATAAAAGTAGGGAATTATCCCAATGTCCGGGCCAAATTAACCCCCACGGCCTGGCATGGCTTCCAAATTGTCCCCATGTATGATTAGCTTACACTTACCCTGTCTAGGGTGTACCCTACCTTGTGCTCGTTGCCTGCCAGGTAGGCTCCGGCTTCCTGTGACACTGTCGCTATAAAGTGGTTTGGCAAATGACATGACAAGTTTGTGGTACCTCCTGTACCTAAATCTTGCAAAAATCTCCTAATGCAAGATACAATGTTCAGTTATATGAAATTAACCGTTTCCTCTCTTGAAGGACCAAGCCAATAAGCTTAAATATTTTTTGTTTTGATTGTCATTAGGGAAGTCTGCAATATATTTAATATACGGTGTCTGTTGCTGGGTTTAAACCCTCTTTCTGCCTCCTCAGGATGTAGTTCCACCTCGTGAAAGATTAAGAAATGCTTGCAGTTGGACAAAGAAAATGTCACAGAATTTTGTAATGGCAGTTGAAGTAAATGTGAAAGAGGGAAAATGTTTTAAGGAACAAAAGACACACAAATTTACCTGAGGTATGTTCATAATTACTTTCAAAATACAATACTGTAAGAAAAACATTTAGAAAAGGTAAAACTGGGTAAAATAGTTCATTTCCCAGGACTAATGAAATCACAAGCCAAATAACTTTACAGAGCACCCTCGCTTTCTTATGACTCCCACCATTTGATTATTATGAACTTTGATTTGAAAGTATTATTCCAGCCTAAAAACTGTGGGTCTATCCCAAAGCTATCTTCAATTTCAAATAAATTATTAAGTTCCCCCAGACTCTTTGCACATTAAAAAAATCCTGCTCAAAAGATGACTTTTGTACAAGGAGGGTTCTAAGTATCTGGGGTGGCTATGCATGCAAGCTTTTGTCTGAAGCAGGCTTGTGAAGTGACCCTTTTTTTCAGACAAGGAAAAAAAATAAAACAACTGTCTTGGTAAATGTGAAATATATCTCATTCTGAGGCACAAAGCTCTTCCTTTGTGACCAACAATATCTCATGTTACCAGCTTTGCATCAGCCAGGCAGGAAAAAATAACATTTAAATTGAAGGCTCTTTTCATTCCTAAATCTCAGGAGATCAAGATCAAAAGAAGACAGAGGAAGGTGCCCCATGTTCCCTAACAAAGAGGTTGTGGTGCGTTCCCAGCAAATATTCTATAATGACCTATATACATATACAAGGGTGTTAATCTTTAAACCAAAATTATTACATGTTTGAAAACCTTTACTCTAGAGATCGTACTGAGCTGACAGTAAAATGATTTTAACTTTTTTTGGGAAGGAAAAAAAAATAATTCAATTTAGATTTTTTCTTTCTCATGGTTTGACCTTTCCAGGCCTCACGTGACTCATATTGATTCAGTTTCACAAAACTGAACATGTACTTTGGTTCTGTAGGTCGTGGATTCATGTTACAGGCTGAATTGGAGTGTCCAAAGGGCAGAAACCTGAGAAACTCAGATATCAGCCAACCATCTTACCTCTGTAGGGCTTGGCTATGAAATAAGCCTAAATAAATATATTATTCCTTGGAGAATAACTAAAAGTCTTGAAATAAAATGTCAGAAGTGTTTCACTTTGTCTGAAGTCCAATTCCACATTTTGTAAAACAATATGCATCACTGTGATTTACTCGGACAGTATGTGTGGTTCAGGTGAATACTATGGAGTAGAGCTTATCTGAAAAGACAAACAATACCAGATCCTGAAAGGTTGCTATAGAAACGTTTACGTTTTTGAATTCATTATAAATTGCTAAAAGCAGGTATTGTGTTGTACATTCTGATGGATATTCACAGCACTAGAGTGGAAAGACAGTGTTGCTAAATTAAGATTACCGAACAAGAATGTCAAAATAGATAACGTTAATGACAGCATTTTTTAAAATAAACTATTATTATTATTATTATTATTATTATTCTTCGATATTTTATTAAGACTTACCCGAGAGAGCTATTCAATGTTGGAATGGTCCAATCAAAAAAGAAGTATACTGCTAAATAATGCATAAATAAATTCTACTCTCTTTCTTAAGCACAAAATGTTTTATATAAAATGTAGCCCATTCTAAACAAATCATAGTTATTAATCAAAGTCGCTTAATCGAGGTGAAACCCCAAAGTAAGACCTCGCGGTAAAGTATGTGCTGCCACCTGGTGGTGAAATTATTCACTACAGTCTAAGCGTATAGGAACTTAGTTCCATAGCGTCAGGATGCAGTAGAAACTTATTTATTGGTCGCACAGACGTCGACCCTTTTTCGTTTCTAATGGCAACGCGTCTTTAATATGGCCACCATTGGTAAGTTTTAATCATCATCTTCTATCAAAACAGTTCTCAAAAACATTATAATTGACATAGTTTTATAACTCTGGAGATTTCTTTCAAGACTCGCGTACAGAAGGAGCTAGAATTAGTAGTTACATAGTGGCATGTGGTTTCGTTTCAGACTAGTCATGATTCCCGATTAGTGCATATTCCCCCAAATATTTCAAGACTTAATTCTAATATTTAGACCCCTCACCAGGACGAAGATGAATGAATGAGAAGCATTTGATGACAATCGACTACAGTACTGTACATTCAAAAGGTTTAATGGGATTATTTATCCCTATGTCGTGTTGTTTATACCGCCAATTGGTAGACAAACCTTTAAAATTTAAATATCCCAAAACTCCTACTTGTAGTTCTAAATGTCTTTTCTTTATTTATGTTATTAAATATAGTTTGATAAGACTATTTAAATACTTTGCTGACTTATCGAGCCATTTTAATTACGGATGTTTCGAGTGAATTAACTTAAGGTAATTCTAGTCTTTTGTATAAGCCTACGTAGACTATGGATGGTCTGATTTTATGTAGCCCCTAAATCTCAAGTAGACTGTTTATAAACTTAACAGTGCATGTTGTAAATACGACGATTGAAAAAAAAACATACAGTCTAATCTTTTCGAAAATTTTAAGGCCATATGAGGTAATGGGACATTCCTTCTTGAATGGTACCATTGTAGTGCCCTTACAAAAGTAACGCAAAGGTTTCTGTATAAATGTACCAGTTATAGATAATATATAAACTTAGATCTAATTTAACAGGTTCTGCCTGTTTAATAATGCTGTTCTTGATCTAGTGTTAAGACCACTTATTTTAAGTAAATTATTTTAAATTGTTGTTTCTTTATTGCTTTTAAATTTAATGCAAATATAAACATCTGGAGTACCTACAAACATCTGTTGGTTTTAACAAAACCTTCTTGGTTTTTGAGAGTTGTCTTACACATGATGATACTGATTTTTTAAACACTGATGATTTTAATAGTTTAAAAATCAAATAGTTGTAAATGCTGTCTTTTGTAATCACAATTGCCTTCTGCTTCCAACATCAGGATTAGAAATACTTGTGTTTGTGTACGTTTCACTTGAATTTTTCCTAGATGGCCAAATTGCCCTGCATTGCTAAATGGAATTTCTTATGACAAGTGGGACAGAGGAGAATGGAAGACAACAGTTGTCTGGGAATTACGAAGAGGATTCATTTGAAACGTGGCCAAGTTCCGAAAGCAGCAGCAGCAGTAGCAGAGCTTTGAGATTTGCAGGAGACACATATGAGTCCTGTTCTACTGAATTTGAAAGGACAAAGAGTAACAGGAGTGAGTCATTCAATTCATTTTGCTCTAATGAAGGATTCGACTCGCAGAGAGAAAGACTGGCATCATCTGAAAGAGGATATGAAGGTAAATCTTTAACATTCTAACTCTCCTGCTTTTGAGAAGTCCACAGCACCTGAGATTTTAATCTATGCGGATGTAAAAATCAATTTGTTTATAACACAGCTCTCCAGGATTACGGTTTTGGTCTATTAAAGGAGGTCAGCAAGAACAAATTCCATCACAACTAGAACAGCAGAAGATTTGTACTTTCATATACGATTACGATTTATGATATGAATTTATAATGGCTTCCTGTAGCATTTGTTTGATTCCATGTGAGATAAGTGCATCCTCATGATACACTTACATCCTCTCTTCCTGGCAGCCTTAAATTTCTTAATAGTGGGTACTACAATGGAAAGTGATAGATTCAGCATTTTATAGCTATCCTTCAACTTGCGGAGGTCAGAAATCATTTACCTGCAGTCTTCAGAGAACTCTCTGACCTTGACCATTTTACCACAGTACTTACTGTAATGTCTTCCATGTTTACCTCCTTAAATACTGAAGGGAAGCAAAAATATCATTGGAAATCTCTATAGAGTTCTGAAGGTTGATTAGATGATGAAACACTTAAGAGGTGATGATAAACGTGACCATCATGTTTTCTGGAATTTAATAATTTATGGGCTGTATGCAATGCTATTATGATTACTGTACGATGATTTTAGAACATTTTAAGTAATAGGAATTATTAAGTCTTTAACTTGTACTATAATGGTTTTGTTTCTGTTTCATTGGTGGTATGTATAAATCTGGTTGGTACTGTAAGGCCTGCTCTACCTTTAAATTATTTTTTGGTTTAATGTGCTTAATCTATTTTTTATATTGAATGTATGCGGTCTTTCATTTATCGTGTCCCCTGTTATTCACATTACAGTATATGGTGCTTTAAATGAAAAGTGTTGTATAAAGACGATTTTTAACTAATTAAATGGGACACTGTTTTGTTGAAGGGCTATTAATCGAAACGAAGATTAAACCGTTTAAGAAGAATTTTAGAAAGGATTGTACTCATAAATCCTTCAATATCTCAGTTTTTTCACTGAAGTTCTTATATGAAAGTTCATTGCCTTAATCAATGCCATCCAAATGAGAAATCAGTGCTCTGGTTATTAAAATTGCAAAAGTAAATCGAAACTTCATAAGTCACTGTTGGCTGCATTTTAATTGATCAAATCATGCAACAGTGAATCAGCTGGATAGAGACTCTGTCCTTTTCTTACTGTTAGATGAAAAGTTTGAGCAGTACAACGAAAACAAGATCACAGCTGAAGAAGAGTTCAGTAGAAAACGAATTCAGGTTTTGAGGAATAAAGCCTCCCCGTCGAGCCCATCCCAGAAACAACGATCAAACATCCTTCCCCAAAAGGGTACGTCAAAAGTGTTGTCTGTCAGGCTGCAGGAGACAGAACAAAGTGTCAACTAGATACTTTCAGATAAGACATCAAAGTGGGCGAGAGCCTTTTCACAGTTATAACATGTTTTGAAAACTATCTACTTATTTCTAACATAATGGTAGGTTTGGATGCATGTTTGTAGCTTGTTAAAGCTAACTTTCATAAGAAAAGAGAAAATGGTACAACATTACATGATTAAAGAATGTATTGTATCCAAGGGAATTAGCAATATTACGTCTAACTTACATTAATAAATATAACTTATACATGACCATTTTAAAGTACTATAAATGTTTTTCTTTTTAACCCTCTCAGTATTATAGGGTATAAATAATATTGTGCTATATATAAGAACACAAGTAAGCATATGTTTCTTGTTTGAATAAGTCAAGAATACTTTCTAATGTACACAAAAATAGTTCTGGCCTGATATTTAAATCAACAAAGTCAACAGAAGTAAATGTTGCTGCAGGGTTGTCTGGAGATATGAGATGTTTAGCATACTTTATTGCTCAGTTTGAAAAATCTAGAAATACTGTAGATATGCCATTTTTTCACCTGTTGAGGACTAATTTCCTCATCTCTCCTTTTATGGATTTGCTGTGCAGAATGATAAATGCTTTATTTTTTTCTTTTTAAAGTGATGTCACCAGGGATTATTAGAATGAAGAAAGCAATTACTAGGAATAATTACTTAGGCAAGGCTTTAATGTCTTTGCCTAATGGGACACATTATCCCCAATTTGGATCAAATTAAAAACCGTATAAAACTTTTTTATGTATTTTAACTTAAGAAAGCAAATCTCATGGAACAAAAAATGTTAATTGAAATGAAGGAAATCAGATGAAAGTGTCTCTTTCTATTTTGAAAAAGAAACATGAGCAAAAAATATTAAAGTGGAGTATTTAGAATCCCTATAAATAATTCATTTTTTTAATTATGTTTTTATATTTGGAAGACACATTGGGTCAAGAGTGTAGACATTGTAAGTGAAAATCTATAACAGACAATATTTCAAAGTGATATTGGCTGTCAGGACATTGGGTTTTATTATATATTGTTTTTCTTTTTTCTTTTTGTTTATTTTTTTCGAAAGGTGATTTTGCCTTTAGTCTCATCTTAGCATAGCCCACTCAAATAATGGTGTTTTTAGGCAGAGTTGTTGCAGTTTTGGATGGTATTGCAAACCAAATATTGCATAATCCCTTGTCTGCACTCATGTGTATCATGGTAATGAGTACCTTCCATATTCCAGCAACTGCATTTGAAGTCAAGTCACCAATGAAGTGTATAATATTTGTACTTTTACATGTCATTACAGTAGTGTCATTAGAGATACATTGTTGCTTTAGATCCGTTTCAGAAAATACTGTATCTAGCATTTTATTTTAGGGTCACATTCTGCTCCTCTGTTCTGTTAGTACCATTGATGTGTACTAGGGTCCTTTGCACAGTAATATGATAGAGCTGTATAATTATTAATTGTGACAGATGTACGAAAACTGGGCCCAGACGAGAGGGATGCTTTGAAGTTGTATTGCAGAACAAGGATCAGAAATGTTCAGCAACAGCAGAAACCAAACGAGTCCGGATGCAGCGTGGAAAGAAGTATGCAGAAGGCAGCAGGGCTGTCAGGGGAACACTTAGTTTGTGTAATCCCCCAGCAGGTCTTTGAGAGGCTTAGACTAAAAAGTTTCACAGCGGCAATGAAAAAGGTAACTTGTCATTCTTTGTGCTTTTGTTTGCAGTGTTTGTGAAGCCTTTTGCTCCACAACGATCTTTTTAACTGTCTGTCAAGGAACCAAAGTCAAAGCTAAGACAGATCTTTTGACAAACTCGGTCTATGTAATGTGTTTGTGCTTGAATTTTACGTTTTTAGTTAACGTTTTCAGATCTCCAGAGTAGATCAAGCAGCAAAGGCACTTGTTCAGAACACAGGTGGAGCTCAATGGCCCTGATGATCAGTGGGATGTAATTGGCTGACCAGTAGGCACCATGCTACCATGGTACAGTTGGCGTTAGTCAACCAGAATCCTCTCAACGTGCAGTAAAAAAGTGACATTTGCATTTGGGCTCCTTTAAGACACTGTGGAGATCATAGAATGTCAACAGATGAATGACTTTGATTGATGTGTCAATCCACATGTCCTCATTCCTCTTGTGCAATATAGGAATTGCTGCTGGAAAGGAAAGTCTTAAAAATCAGTGATCCAAGCTCTTTTTAAAAATAAATTCAGTTAGTGTGAAGGTTATGAAAGCTCAATCCATTGAGTAAAGAGGACATATTGTTTGTTTTCTAATCTTAAGTGGCATGTGGTCACAGAGCTTAAAAAACAGATCAAGATCAACATGCCCTGCCTAAAAGGATTCTGATGTACTGTAGAATCTACAGTAAGAGTTCTGCTAGCAGCTCATTAGGGTTGACCTTCATTTGACTGCTTCCAAAGGACCGTGCATCTGCACTTGTGAACAAAGCTAGAAGTGGTCCAAGATTTTCAGGGGTGCAAAACCTGAAATAAAGGCCACTAAGAGGAGTACAATTATTCTGAATCCAAAGCAATTAATTCTGAAAGTATGTGGAAGAGTTCACAAGAGATTTCAATGTATTAATTAAATACAATGATTCAGAATTTTCCACTAATTACTGTTTTACTCAGGGAGCATTGGAAAAAAATGCAGTGACCCAAGTGAACTGCTATAACAATGCTCTGTAATGTTTTAAGAAGATGATATTTAATGTAAATGTGAAAACATTATAGATGAAAGAAATATGTAAATTACAGACTAAAGCTCAAAACGTCCAAAGAACAATAACATTATTAACCATTTTGAAAATATAATTATAAAGCTACTGCATAATGATTACATGGAATGTTCTTGACTTCAATTTGTATTTTTTATATTGTTTTTAATAATTATCAGACATATTTAATGTTGACCTACTTTAGTCCCAATTCAAGTAAGCAACAACAGTATCAATCTGTCTAATTATTAATGAATTATTTATGTTTTAATTGGATTTAGTATAATGATATTTCTCATCAAGGAATAATGATATAAAAGACACAAATTGACTTTCCTTTATTATCCGTAGCTAAAACTGAACTCAACAAGATCATTATATATTTTTATTAAATAGCATATTGTCTCATTTTTGTTTTTTAATTAATGTTATTAATTTTTTCAATTTTCAACACTTCTGCCTGCAATGTGTGACTTGAACACAGGGTATAGAAGCAAAGATGCATCAGCCTTCAAGATGTCACGCCTGTCAGAATAAAAGAGCTGATCTTGCGAGAGACACTTTCATCAGAATAAAGAAAAATCAGCTTGAATCACTGCTTCTCAAAGAGAAAATAGAAGGAACCATATATACCAAAGTACGTGTTCTTGTGCACATCTTAATTTGGAGAGAGTGTAATTTACAGAGAGTGTAGTTTGGAGAGTTTATTAAGGAAGTATGCAATACGTATTATCAGGCATCCAGTGTGCTATAGAGTACCTGACTTTTGTTTTTCTCAGTGTATTTTACATGAACAAGTCTTAAGAGAGTTCAATTACCTGTGCAATGCGTGTTGTATTACTTTGTTAAAGTAGTTTTGTTTCTGGGTAATTTCATTTAATTTAACTGCAGCAGTTCCTGCTCTCTATTGGTATTTAACACTACTTAAATATCAGTGTTTGACGAATTCACGCAGAATAGATTTTTATTACTATTTGTGGGCTGATTTATATGGGTTTAATGAGGTTGCAAGAGTTGTAGAGCAATCTGGAAACAATTACATTGCTTTATTATTACATTTAATCTGAGTCATTGCTCTTCCTCTGTATCATGCACATTATTCCCACTGACATCAATTATTTAATTATCTGCATTACATGCACTATCCTGATTATTTTTGTCTTTAAGGCACTTGCTGTGAAAATAAAGTACATGATCAAATTGCTATAGCTATTATTGTAAGGTTCTTGCACTTGTGGTAGTATCTTGTACGATTCCATTGTCTTGTTAGATAGACCGAAAATATATTAGTTATAATTCTTTCATAAAATGATGAACCTTAACAGTTAGTATTGTTGCTATACAATTTTCATAACCAAAAAGTGGTAATTCTGAGATCATAGATGTTTTCTAAAAGGATATAGAACATGTGAGAGGAGATAATAATGTAGTGTGTAGTAACATCAAATAATTTTTGTTTATTTCTTTCCCAATAGGGCTCTGTTTGCCTTGTAGGAGAAGTACTGAAAGACCTTCCAAAACTTTCTGATGATCCCAGCAAGATTTGGCGAGCACTAATTGAAAAGGAACAAACTAATACCCTGAAAAACTTTGTATGAATCAGCTTTTCAAATACCATTAAATTCACTGTATATTAAATGAAAATAATAAACACTGCTGGGAAGAAATTTTACAAATGCACTCCATATTTCTCTTTATATCGGTCAACATTTACTGGATGAAATGATTTCTTCTCAAGGCACATGTAGATTGAAAAAAAAAGTTTTCTCAAATAAATTGATCGCTTTAGCATAGTATGACTCTTACAGGAAAGTTTTATAATAATTTACATTTAATGCATAAAAAGGTGTGATACCATGTAAAAAAATCAAAAGAATGTTTTTGGACGGTATAAAAGACTCTTCTTATTGCAGTAGTTAAAGGAACATTATTTCAAAATACGATATTGTGAAAAATATACTGTAAGATTGGTAGTAGTAAAATAAAGTATTACCAACAGTAAAATGATGTAATTCATTCTTTCCCAAATAGTTTTCAAGGGAATTAAATTTTCAAAGAATGTAAATTCATTATTTTCATATTTTTGGTAAATATAGAGCACAAGAACATTGGCAGAAAAACACCAAATTCATATACTGACATCCTGAAAGAAACAAGGTTAGGCAATTTTAGTCAGACACGATGCATCATACTTTGTTGTTTTTTATTGACTGATCTAATGGAAAACTGAACAGCAAAAAACAGAATTAATTTGATAAAAAAAAATTATTTGTTTTTTTTCAATGAACATCTTAACCTAGCGTTTGTTGTCAGGCTCGCTGTGTTTGCTTTAATGAAGCAGTTCTAAAAAAATCTCTACATGCTTTAGTCACTTTAACACTTCAAATTAGTATATTTACAAAATAAGCAATAAGATTTGTTCCTAGCCTCCTCTTGTTCCATAATTTTTATAAATACCTAATTTAAAGCTAAAAGGGAAACCTCTTTATTCCAATCATTGTTGAAAAGGTGATTTTATCCTTTTTTTGCTTCTAAAATGCTTGGAAACATTTAAGGTAGCTTTGACAAATCTTCAGGCATTAAAAAGGTATAGTATATTAAATTAGTGTGATACAAATTCATATACATTCAGTTGTTCATGGCAGAATCAAGTTTCATTGATCTGTGGTACCAACTTATTACCTTGGGATCAGAAAGAGGTGAAACTTTAGAATTACTAGTGCTAAATTCAAACCTCCCAAGCTTTAAAGATAGTTAATCTTTATTGTTATAAATGATAATCTGTAAATGTATGTTGGGGCCTATAAATATAGTTGCCCTGTTTGATCAAATTGTGCATCATCTAACAGTGACATTTCATACTGGTGTGAGAGGGGCCATAGGAAATATGATCTTTTGGACAGTGACAGTAAACAGCAAAGAGTATTAACATTGCCTTTGTCCATGAGAAATCATATGGTACAAGCACACTGCCTGCCTCTGGTCAACAACAGTGATGTGGGTGACCTTTGATATTTACTTTCACAGTCCATGGACCCAAAGGCTTTTTAACTGTATAGGTGTTTTGTGTAGTATACTTCACCTTGTGGTGCTGCCAAAAAGGCCTCGGAAACTAAAAACACTCCACTCGAAGAAAGGATTTTTAGGTTTCTGTTATTTAGAGTGCTTGTTTTCCTGGAGCCTTGATCCAGATATATGCATATATGTCACTTTGAGTCAGTATCCATATTTGTCTTGGTTTTCAGACATTAAGTATCTTCTATGGTAATGTCAGTGCTTAAATATTTTGAGCACTACACTCTCTCATAAAACAATACCCATTCGGTGGTTCAGGTCTGAAGGTAAAATGAACAAAGCTATTTTTGTTATGATTGAGAATTATCATGAAGAAACATTAAGTTATGCAATGGATGGTGCTATTTAAAGTTGCATACATCGTTTTCATGAGCTTGGCATTGCAAAAGTGTAATTTTTTCAGCTGTCGTACTGGAGTCTGAACTCAATTAGGTGATGAAGCTTAATGTATAAGTGGAAGGATGTAGAATGCCATTGCTAATGTAAATTGTAGAGAATGAAAGAAAGGTTGGACTGCTATAAAGAGATTATACCTTTATTGTATTGATACATGGTTTGAAAATTCTAATAGTACTTAACATACATATTTTACATATAAATTCATATAATCAAGTTTAATAATAATATTGTTATAACTGAAGGGTAAATATAAGTACTGTATGCATTTTTCACAATACCTTCCTAAAAACTATATACTGCCATTTTATAATCAAGCATAATGATGCTAAACCTTTATTTGCAGGTTTTTCTTCTACAAATTGCAGACATTTAAGACAAAAGCTACCATCAAAAAGGGTTATCATTTGTTTTCTTTCTTAATGTGTACGTCATTGAAGTCTTATGTTAGGCAGAGCAACAGCCAGCATTCAAAACTCAAACAAAAAGACCTAATAACAAAGCAACCCACCCCAAAAAAACCTGTCTCACCAGTGCTTAAAACATTTAAAAATATATTACTCATAAGATCCTGGAAAATAGAATTTCTTCTGAAGAAATGTTCCTGCTCTTGAAAATGATGCCAAACACTTTAGCTGAACTGGAATCCCTTGTATCAGTGTTTAAATAAAGCAGTTGAAAATATATTGCTTTTTTTAAAGCCCACTGGATTTCCTAAGGGTTCTGAAGCACTGTTGTTGTTCCAGTGCTTTGCTGTTTGTTGTTTTTCCCATGATCCTTTTCATATTCTTCCTGAGCCTTCTTTAGCTTCCTGCCTTTCAGCTGTAACTTGTGACAATAGAAAGTCACCAGAGATGTCATTATCACAGTACAAGCAAGAGTCAGCACAACCATCAGTGCAATAACGGAAGAAGATGAGTCATCCCAATTCCTAGGCACAGGCATGTCCTCTGTGTAATTAGCTGTGAAGACAGTGGCATGTCCATTGTCTGATGCCAGTGGAATGGATAAGGAGCTTCCCAAGATTTTGGGCCTCATCGAGATGGCTTGGCTGTGGCGCAGATATGTAGAATCGCACACAACATTGATGTCTCTGATTTCAAGGACAATCAGAGGTGGACATTTTAAGTAGCGCAGTTCATGTGAGGCCTTTGTTGCTTCTCTCAAATATCTTCAAAAGAACTTTATGTGGGTTATCAGGGCACCCCCTACTCTACCCATGCGCCTTTCAAGAGAATGCAGCAGTGAATCCACTGGCTGAACTTTATCAGTTGAGTGCTTAGTGTTCCCAGATCAGTTTTTCAACACATCTTTAAATTCAGCCGTCGTGTTGTGCAGAAGACGGTGTGTCCAGTCCGATTTTCGAAAATAGATCCTGCACTGCTGCTTTCAGAATGAACTTGGAATGAGATTTTAGCTAGAGCTGTTTGGCAGCAGCCCAGTGTTTTATTATTGAATCCAGAGTAATAAAGGGAGCCCGGAGCCACAGGTCTTATATTAGAATGAAGCTCAATGTATTTTCCAATTTTCTTATTGTTTTTTTTTCTATTGTTGTTTCTTTTTTGCTGAGCAGGCAGGATTCTATTTGCCTTTGGGATTTCTTTCTGGCTTTGTTTGTTCAGAAGCGTATCTATTTCCTTTGGAAATTAAGAGGTGTCTCAGATGACTTCTTAAGATTAATGCCAGCTGAATTACCTAGAATGAAAAAGAGCTTTGAGTTAAATTAAAGTTTTATTTCCATTGCCTTTCAAGTGTCAAATTAGCTCTCAGTGGAGGTAAACTGTAGAGGATTGAAAGTTCAGGAAGCAATTGATTTCATTATCACATTGCTTTGCAGCTCTAGACATGGGTGGGTGATTTAATAAAAACTTAATGATATTCATGCTCTTGTGCTAAATCAAGAAATCTCGTCTAACTGTAGTGAAATCTGCCCTCTAATGTTTGCATTGAGTTCTAGCAACATTTTGTATTTTGAGCTAGTAGTGATCCTACATTTCTGCTTTCAAGGCTGTGCTTTCTCAGACAGAAAGACCTTTTTTCCTGTTTTCTGTTAGAAAATAAAAATCATGAACCCAAATGCACTTTTTAATGGGGTGTCCTCTTTCAGAGTCCAAAGAAATATATACTGCTTCCTGCGGTCTGTAGCATATAAAAAGTAAATACAGTATAACATGATAAATTAGTGCTCAAAATAACTATCATAAAATCAAAAATATCTCATGGCTATGTGGATTGTGCACAGACAGAAAAATATTGTTATTCTTTATCAACCAGCAAAAACCAGATGTCTTGATTTAAATCATAATAAAATGAGAAGTAATTCATGGGATCTTTTTCAAAATATTAAATATACCTCCTTAACGTTCTTAATATTTCTAGATGACTAGCCTGTGGAAAGTATGAAGAGTAGGAATTGTGTTCTAGAACAACTACTTTGTCTGCCTGTCTGTGGGTTAATCAGAATGTTGTCCTAATTTGTCTTTGGGCTATAAAGATGTGATTGTATCTTTTCCTGGTTTCCCAGAAGGGTAATTAAACTGATTTATGTAATGTTCTTATCAGATTCAGTGTGATTAGTCCTGCAGATTCTGAACCGGGAGAGTTATCCTAATCAAATTACTATCAGTCATTGCACGTGATAACAAATCTTGTGAAAATGACAGACTGCATCTTCAAGGCAGAAGTCAAACAGTATTGAACTGTGTCTTCTTGTAACAAGAATATATTAGCAGCTTGTTCATCACCATGCTTGTGGCTGGACATCTATGAGCCCACAGCATTCCTGTTCAGAATCAGGCTCCCTTGAGAAGTCTTGCAAATAGATTTTTTGTACCTTCTTGATTTTTTGTAGTTTAATAAATGAAATTTTCATTATCCTAACTGACTCACCATGAACAATGAGTCACCGTAATTCTTCAGCATTATAGGACTTTGAAGTGTGTAATACCCTGCACCTGGGAGGGAATGAAATATTGCTTTCCAAATGGGGTTGCTGGCTGCATTACTGTGGCGTTAGTAATTGCACAGCTCTGCAGAGTAAATTGTAATAGAAAATGTATAAAATTATAAATATGAGTATAATTACTCTTTTTTGACACATTCACACTATCCCCTTGAAGCAGCATGCATTTAGCATTGTTTATATTAGTGGTGTTTTTTCATATTGTTTTAAAGAGTTTAGTTTCTGCCTCAGGTTTTGCGAATGTATGGAGTTTGCTAATGGTGTTGTTTTGTCTGATGAGCAATTTAAATACACTTTATGACTTTAAACATTAAATTGTGTGAGATGATTGTATTTAAATGCTTGCATATCTCTGCTGGAAACATATATGAACATAAATATATTCTATGACACTTATTGTTTTATATCAGTACAAATCATACAATGAAACGTCCATTAACCACACATTGAAAATGAAAAGCCCATATAGTCTAAGAAATACAAATATTCAAGACACATTACTTAAGAGATATAAATATTTGTGTATTTTAGGTAAAATTCCTAATTTCAAGGAGAAATATTCATTACCATATTTCCAAAAATATTTTGCCTTTATAAAAGACCATTTGATATTTGTTATTATTATGAAAGCAATGCTGTTCAAGGCTAGGACTATTATTACATTTTCTTAATATTAGTCCAGTGACTGTTATTTGGAATGTTTGGATATTGATATAACAAATTAAGTATTATTTACTTACTGGTGTCATTTAAAGTATCTTAATTATTAGATTAATTTTGTCACAGATCTGTTTTGGATCATTTGCTTCTGTGACTGCACAAGTATAAAACTTCAGATTTAAAATCCCAAATTTCCTTTGTTGTAGTCATAAACATGCATTTGTTTAAACACCAAAATAATGTTCCCAAAAATACCTTGCAATGTAATTTTATTCAAGCAAAGGTGTCTTTGCTTTAACAATGCAATACATGTATGTGCATACTGTATATAAACTTTTTTTTATTGCTGTGAGCGACTTTTCCACTTCATTGTCATTTAAAATCCATCGCACTGCCAGTAATGCTCAGATGAGGGCATTGTTGAACATCATACAGAAAAGTTTCCAAATTACCTAATAGAAAAAGGGCTGGGAGATGTTGCAATTTTCAAGGTGTTTGCTATAAATATCAAGGTGATAGAATCTAAATTCACTGCTTTTGATTGAACAAATAAGAAGAGTATTACGTTTAAAAGCTAATAAGAAGAAACTTACAACTGAATAGAGGTTAACTGTATGTTCTACTAAACATAAAAATCTTCACCATAAACAACTCAATGGAACAACCGATCATATGTGTAAACATTATTTTGGAGTTAGAAACAAAAAAAATATTATTTTAAATTCATTTGGATGCATACCATAGATTAAATTACAAGCTATTATGGAGTAATCTGCGTGAATTTTATTACAGGAGTTTGTAGTTGAAAACAAAATACTCTATGTTCATACATCAGGTTTTATCTTAAGTGTACATCTGTTACAAAGAAAGTAAGCCAACAGTGAGGTTGATCAAAGATAAATATAGCTCTTGATTTATGATCAGGGTATTAATATACTCGAGTTTCCTGCTGCACGAGTTAACATCACCAATAACAGATGCATTATGTCTGCTTTGGAGTTGACTACAAGTCATTTCAGGAGCATATTTAATCATCTGTAAACAGACATTCAATGCCAACATTTTTAATTGCCTAACACATTCAGGTCAGTTGTTTCACGCCTTTGCAAATCTAGTACCTAACTGGAATAAAATAATCAGAGACTGATGGGTCCTCAGAGTAGTAAGGCTGTTTTATCTGCCTTCCTTAAAGCAAAGAAATATATCACAATGAAGACTTACCTGAACTGTTGCCACTGTAGCCTCATGGAACTGGAATTCTACTTAATAAGTCCATTAGATTGCAAATTGGGGCTGTGATTGTAAAGCCAGGTGAAAACTGGTCCTTTGAATGGAAGCTGTGTGCGAGGCAGATCTATATTAGATGGGGATATTGCTGAATAGGCTTGTTGTCTGTACTGCAGTCAGTGCTACTGAAGCCAGCCCTCTCACCCCCCCCCCTCTTTAACTCCCTCCTCTTTCTCTCTCTCCTTCACTGTTCCTCTTCTCTCTGTTATTTAGTGGGTCCAAGATTCTTTTTTCCAGTTCTTTCAGCTTTATTTAGTGTCACTTGGATCTTATCCAAATCTTGTTCTGCAGGACAGAGAACAGCAAATCAGGTCACTTTAATAGTAAAAGTAAAAAAAGTTTCATCAGACGCTTTAAAACAAAATGAGGCTACAACACACATCGAGTTGTAGAATGCTTGGAGGTTTTCAGATTTTAACCGTCTATGTTTAGTATGAGACTGACTAATGTCTATCGGAGATACAGTACACAATAGGATCCTGAAGAAAATACTGTTTCACTAGCACAAGCTTTGACAGAAGGTCCCACACCAACTGCCCAGATGGTGATCCACATGGATTTAGTGTCTTGGAAACTGTACCTTATAATTTTCAGATGGGCATTATTAATCTAGTAACAGTAGTGCATGTAGAGATATAATTGTAAAGATATAATCCTATAATTAAAGCACAATAGAGCTGTTTTACAGTCATTACTAGATCTCAAAAGCTAACATACTAATAATAGGATTCTGAGAGAGCATTTCTTAAAAATTGAAGACTTGACTGTTTCTGTGTTCAGATCACTTACTTGATTTTTTTTCTTGGTATATATACAATGCATAACAAAGAAAGTCTCATTACCAAGAGGTCAAAAGATACATTTAAGTGCTGAGCTACACTATATACTTCAGTTTGTTCGCTTCATATTTTTTTCTGTTTATGTATCGGTTCATATTGATAGGCATGTGAATGTCATGCCAGGACAACTGGCAGGAGTCACCATATGCTAAATGGTTCTGTGCTTTTTGCCAAGGCACTTTGTCTCAGCCACTTGGAAGTGCCGTTTCCTTGGAAACAAATTCAACTGATAACGAATGCCTTTAATTAGATCTTTAGCCACAGTTTTCAACACTCAGTGTTACACTTGAGGCAGGCCATTTTTTTCTTTTGTAATCCTATTTTGATGTTTTACTGCTAAGAAATGAGATCTCTTGTTTCATATCATAGCAGTTCAATTGTCAGAGTATTGTAAGAAAAACTGGGAAGTACTACCTATTTAGTCTAAGAAATGCAACAAATTGCTCGTGGTGCTATTTTGTAATTTTTTCAATGGGATGTAAACATACCTGTATATTATTTTAGTGAACCCCCTTTAAATAATTTTGAAAACACAATTTGTTATAGCTATAGTCAGAATTTTTAATATGCATGAGCCTTTCCTGATTTCATTAGTATACTGCGAGAATATGAAAGAGGTTCATAATTAGAAAATAAAGATGTTTTGCTCCATTGGTCAGCTGCAGGATATGATCGTAGGCAGGCGTGATGTTCTGATAATACTGAATCTTAATTTCCAAGTGAGCAAGCATGAGGGAAATCTGGATTGCATGCTGCAGAGACTGTGACAGGGAAACTGGTCGATTGAAACTGGTCTCTTTTTGGTCATAAATATAGTATATGGACTGTTTTTCATTTAATGATAGAAAGCAGGAAAGATTTAGAAAGAGTAGAAGCATTTCTTATAATTACATGCATTACGCCCATAAACATCCATAAACAACTCCAGCAAAAACTGTAGAATACAGTGCTTGACTTTCCAGTGATTCCTGTTGCCTAACCTAACAAAATTTGCTCTTGTACACTTGCAATTTAAAATTGAATAAAACATAAAGGCTCATCAAAACATATTTTACTTAAATGTTTAAAGGTACGTTTTGATGCCTACTTTATTTCATCCAAAAAGGTCTGAATTAGGTTTGAATTATGATTGATCACACAACACTTGATTGACCACACAACATTAATCTTCTACTGGCTAAAATGTCAATTTGTGCTCATTCTTTTGTGTAAGCATTATTTTATCTCAGTTAGCAGTAAAGATTTGTTCTATTAATCATATAAAATAACCAAAAAAAATCTCTTACTCTCTAGTTGTATTTATTGCCCATCTCCTATCATTAAAGCATAAATTACAATAAATGTAACAGAATCCTACTTCTTGGTACACAGAAATGGTTATAGCAAATATTAGCTCTTCCCCTATAGACAAGAAAAACAATGTGATGAGACACTCTGGGAATTCAATTCATAACAAAGGATAATGCAAATCAGTTACTCCTCCTCTGGAAAGTTCACTGAAATTTAAAAAAGAGTGAATGATACCAAGGGCACACGATAGATAAGGATGTACTGAAAATGAATCTAATAAATGGCATCTAATAAAAACCTGAATCTGTCAGATTTGAATCGGGTAGAATGATGCCTGCAACTAGTTTAAATTATTAAACGTAACTGTTTACACCTGAGCTTGTGAACCCATTAGAAGATGTTTATTATGTATACACATGTGTACATTTATATGTTCATTGCATTATTGTTCTTATTATTATTGCATTATTTACAGTACATTGCAGTGTTATTGTCTAAACACAATCATGCGTTGCATGTTATTAAGGTCAAAGCCATAAAACTGTGTTTCTGCATAAATAAGGAAAAATGTTGAGTGAAAAGACTAGGACAATGAAAAATGTCTAAGAGTGTGATTTGTGATATCTTTCAGAGAAGACACCTCCTCAATCTGCAAGAGTGTGTGTGCATTCAGTGTTGGCCTTATCAGTCACCTTCAGGTTCAGAAAAGACAAACATCTTCGACCAAAAGGGATAGCTATTTAATGAATATTTGTATTATTATGAAAAACTTCAGAAATGATGTGCTGAGACTAAAGATTAACTTTAAAGAGGGAATTGGTCTGCAAAATATGGCATTAACATCATTTCACTATTGGTAAATCAATCTCCTGAGAAGGAAGCTTGAAATTGTGTGGTGTGGGTCACATGTGCCTTTACATTAGATATCCATATTTAAGTGATCAATACCTACTGTAGCACATTGCACATGGGTTTCAATTAATGTCATTGGTAAGGCACAGTCTGACAGAGATGTTACACAAATCCTCTGGTATAAATATCCATTTAATCTGTTAAACACCCAGATCACTTGTGTGACTTTGGTTGATGTTGACACATGAATATTAAAGCTCATCCTGCAAATGCCCTTGTAAAAAGTACTTAACCCAGATTGTTCTAACAAACTGACGGTATAGACTGTATCAAAATTTGGAATAAATAAATGTATGGTAATTAATATGCAATATATCAGTTCATATTATTGATCCCAGATTGGAGCAGAAAGCCTTGCGTTACATCTGCCTCATCAGGCTGACAATGATCATATTTAAAGACTAATGGATTATGACAAAAGCGTTGCTGAAGCTAAGAGAGAATATGTCTCAAAGCATAATGTTTTACTTTGTGCAGTGAGCTTACTATAAACATCAGCAAACAGACTCCTAAATTTAGTTTTAATGCCTCCAGCATTGTTAAACCACCACTGCCAAAGCAATGCTGCTCCCTGATACAGATCTCAATTACCCTTTCATGATTTCTTCTGTGTACATGTGCTTTTCCAGAATTTAATGAGAAATAAAACCATGCTTCATCAGAATTTACCATTTTTGTTCAAAATCATCATGTCATTCATGTTGCTGAAGAACTGTAATGTTGTAATCCCATATAGTCATGTAATTACATTTATAAAGGTGTTTTCATGCATTGAATTATCTCAAATGATTGGATGATCGAGTGAATTAATCTGTGTGTCATAATGCCCATTTGTGTGAGCTGTTGCTGTATGCAAACGACCCCTCAGGTGGTCCTGACTGGGTCATTACACATGGCTAGCCAGCTCACAGGGAATCATGGGTAGCACTGATGGAGTATGGAGACGGTGACACAATGGGCCCTGCTTACCTGCAACATTCCTATAGTGTTTTCACTCTTACTTTAATTGTGCCAAAAATAAATCAGCCATGGAGACTAAGAAGATTTAAAAGCAATTAATGGAAATAATCTTTGTAAAGCACAGATGAGGACAAGGGTATAAAAATATCAAAGTCTCTAAACATCCCTCAGCCATTAAGAATGAGTAGGCTGTGCTCAGAAGGATATTCAGAGATGGTGGAAAGTGCTTTGCACCACCCAGACATTGCCTAGATCAGGCCCTCACTCCAAACTGAGCAACTGGGCAAGGAAGAGACTGATGAACGATGCCTCGGTGAGGCAAATGACAACTTTGAGAGGCCTACAGAGCTCAAAGGATGGGAGAAAATGTGCATTGGTCAACAATATCCAGAACACAAAACTAGCCTTGGTGTCAGGGTGGCAAGAAGAAAGCCATTACTAAACAAAAGTAATCTCACAGTTTATAACAAAGCACCTGAATGATTCTGCAAATGGCTAAGTGGTTGTGCGCAGGTGAGACCAAATTGGAAGTTTTTGTTGTTTTTGGCAAAGACCCAACACATCTCCCTGTCAGAATCCTCCATGGTGGTCGCAGCACCATGCTGTTGGGTTGCTTCTCAGCAGGGACTGGAAAGCTTATTAGGATTGAAGGAAAATGGATGGAGCAAATTACAGGCAAATATTAGAGCAAAACCTGTTTCTGTCTGCTAAAGACCTAATACTGAGGCAAACATCATTTACCTAGACAATGATCCAAAGCAGAAGGCCAAAGATACAATGGAGAAGCTAAAAAATAAAAAAAGTGTTCTTGAGTGGTCCAGTCAAAGTCATAACTTGAATCCTATTAAAAATCTGTGGAAAGACTTGAAAACTGCTAACCATAAGCAATTCAAAAACAGTTTGAGAGAATTTAAACAAATCTGCCAAAAAGAATGGGTGAAAAGTACACCAACTTGGAGTGCAATTTGGGAAAGACTGACCTAAAAAGACTTGTGGTTTTCACTGCTACGATCGAACATATATTGTGTTCAGAGGTTGGAATACTTATGCAGTCAACATATTTTGTTACAGTTTTTTTCCTTTTTAGGTTTTGCTGACATATACTATAATTTATCTTACCCTTAGAAGTCTTCAGTATGAGCTTTCAGGTTTTGAATAAAATATTAAGTTGAAAAAATGGTATTTATCCTTTTGTAATTTCTCAACATGGGACACCATAGATAGAATCTGAATACTTTTGTAAGGCATTTTATACAGTATATTCAATATATCATGTATAAAATG